ATGAACATTTTCTAACGTTGTTTACGACCTTTGATCCCAATATGGAGAAGTTCGTTGTTTATAATAACACTTTACACAACTGGAAATTGCTGAAACCTGATGAGGTGAAACTGGTCTTCTTTTCTGATGACGACAAACTAAGGACACATGTAAAAAGTATAGGATGGGATGTCACTTTAAGCATACCCTTTAAAGCATGCAATGGAACACCTGTTTTGAAAGAAATGTTTCTAAAAATTAAATCTATGTTTAAAAGTAAATTTTATGCTTATGCTAATGCTGATATTTTATTTGATCGTGGATTACTCAATACTTTACATTATTTGTCAAAGTTTCATAAATTATATTATCATCCTTTATTAGTAAGTGGGAAAAGAATGGACTTTCACATAGATAGACTGAATACAGAGCGAATTAGCGGATATAAAGATATCGAAAATTTGATCATACAAAGTTCTATGTCGTATGGATTTGCAGAAGATTATTTCATAGTTAATAGTCAGTTTCCATGGAAAATAGTCAGTGACGTAGTGATTGGACGATCAATGGTTGATAATTACATCGTTTATATGGCCAGAAAAAGCAGAAGTATTAATGTAATCGATTCATCAGCAACTATCGGTGCTCTACACCAAAAAACTGACCAAAGAATAAAAATTAAAATGGGGAATTGTAACAGAAAAATTATTGGATCCAAATTTTCCCGGCATATGATTTCCATGGGAAATATAGAATGTGCTCCAGGGGAAACAAGAAATATAAATAACGAAATTGCATTTATTAAACGTGGAATGTTCACAACTGTATGCTAAAATTACAAAGATATTTTCCCTTGTTTGTACCTATTCAAGTACATTCAAAAAGTCATGGGGTACAGACTACCTGAACTGACCATGGTAATCATCTGTTCCTCTGTGTTTTATGACACTACTTATTGTCAACTAACCTAAACAAAGTAAACTGTAATTTTCTCAGGTGGTAGAAAAGTGCGCACTTTATTACTTTAATATTTTAAGTATATATAAAGATGTGTCGATTGTCATCGAAACATGTGATGTAAACAAATATACATGTAAGGTACTGTAATTATATTGTGTCGTCAACTAAAATAGGCGTTGTAACCATTTGAATTAGAACTTGTTTCACTGATTTCTATTAAATGATATGCAAAGAAGAGACAATTAAGTTGTGATTAACGATGTATGCCTTCTTAACTCCTAGCAGCAGATATCACTGGTAATTATACTTTAACCGATGAATGAATTTTTATTTAATATATAACATGTATTAAATGAAATAGCGACAGGAAAATGTTTGGACAATACAAACATAGGAATATCGGAAACATTACAGAAGAAAAACTAACTTGTAGTAGTCGATTCTTTATCACATGGTATCTTTCTAAAACTACAAATCAGAATGAAATGTGTTAAAGTATGGGCTGGAATGTGTGTTTGGTTTTCCGTTTGTAAAAGTGTGGTCCGGAATGTATGTTTGGTTTTCTGTTTGTTAAAGTATGGTTCAGGATGTGTGATCAGGTTTTTTTGTTTGTTAAAGTATGGTCCAGAATGTGTGTTTGGTTTTCTGTTTGTTGAAGTATGACCCAGAATATGTGTTTGGTTTTCTGTTGGTTAAAGTATGGTCCGGAATGGTGTTAGGTTTTCTGTTGTTTAAAGTATGGTCCAGAATGTATGTTTGGTTTTCTGTTTGTTAAAGTATGACCCAGATTGTGTGTTTGGTTTTCTGTTTGTTAAAGTATGACCCAGAATGTGTGTTTGGTTTTCTGTTGATTAAAGTATGGTCAGGAATGTGTGTTATGTTTTCTGTTGGTTAAAGTATGACCCAGAACGTATGTTTGGTTTTCTGTTTGTTAAAGTATGACCCAGAATGTGTGTTTGGTTTTCTGTTGGTTAAAGTATGGACCGGAATGTGTGTTAGGTTTTCTGTTGGATAAAGTATAGGTCGGAATGTATGATTGATTTTCTGTTGATATGGCGTGTTCTACATTTATTTGAGGTTGAAAATTGAGCTCCTTGTATTTTTATTTTATTTTATTTTATTCCTTTTCATGCGTGTTTGATTTTTTGTTTTTTTTCATGATAATGTGTTAAATTACGATGCATAATTAAGAAGACAGTTTAAATATTCATTTTGGTCTGTTGAAAAGTAGTCAATAAAAAGACTCTTGTCGGTACTAGTATATAAGTGTTACATGGATCATATTTATATAAGTATAAAAGATGTTTAAATGAACATGTTATAAGTTGGTGATTGTGACTGTTCAAGGACATGTCATCCGATCACTTCAAACATGTTTTTGATTTTCAGAACTTTTGAAGTATTTGACTCATTCTTGAAGGATGCCATTTTTTGTCTTTGCAGATTTTACACGAAGAACAGCAACTTGTAAAATACATACCAAGTTATATAGAGAATAAAGGAGACTAATGCAACTGTTAAATGAGAATGAAAAATCTGTTTGGATTTTTTTGTGTGTTCTACCCGACACTTTTCGTTCTGATGGTAACTCAGTTGCACGTTACTCCAACCAGTGTCCATCACGTCTCCATATTAGGGAGACAAAAACGCAGCCATTTCTCCATTAAACAAACATTGAATATTTCGAAAGAGAAAACAAAGACAGCAGATGTTGGCAAAACACAGGACAGCACCACCCAATCTCGGTTTACTTCCGAAGAGCATTTCTTAACATTATTCACATCTTTCAATTCTACCATGGAGAAATTCTACATTTACAACAATACCATACATAACTGGTTGCAGATGAAACCAAAGGTTGTACTAATATTTTTCTCTGATAACTCGAAACTTAGGGAATATGTTAGCAGTATTGGATGGGACTTGACGCTTAGTGTTGGATTAAAATCGTGTAATGGAACCCCAGTTTTGAAAGATATGTTTCTGACGGCACAAAGATTAGTTAATAGCAAACTCTACGCTTATGCAAATGCAGATATACTATTTGATCGAGGATTTTTATCCACTTTGGAAGGAGTAGTAAACAATACTGCAATATACAGTAAACCGTTCCTTCTTACTGGTAAAAGAAGTGATTTATTACTTAATGTTCACAAAATAACGAATATACGTGGGGCAAAAGAAGTTGAAAGAGCATTTAAGAAAAGTCATATGTCGTATGGGTATGCCGAAGATTATTTTGTCGTCAACCGTAAATTTCCTTGGAAAATATATCCTAATTTAGCGATAGGCCGAGAAATAGTGGATAATTATTTAGCGTTCGTAGCTAGAAAAAACAAAGTAACAACGATAGACGCATCAGGAACAGTCGGGGCTTTGCATCAAAAAACAAAAAGTAGAGTGAAAAAACCGTCTGACTGTAACAAAAAAATTTTAGGTAAACTCTATGCCAGACGTAAAATTGCGAGGGGCAACGTTGAATGTTTCTCATTCGAAACACGGTTCAATTTTGATAGTAATGTGTTCCTGATGAAAAGGGGGCAATACACAACAGTTTGTTAACAGGTGTATACTGCGTTTTCATATTTTGTGTTTGTACTCAACCATTTTATCATTTTACATCACGAAATTATTGGTTATATTGTTTGTTTGTCTGTTGTTTTATTTTAAATGGTATTGATTTTGTTGAACTACAAAATGACTGAGTACAGAGCCTGAAGCCAAAGTAATGTAAATAGAAATATTTTGTTCATGGAACAAGTGTGGACACAGATCAGTGTGGATAGTATGTTTGAATGTTTGGCAGTGTTTTCTGTCAAAAAGAGTTCTCTGTTTTTCCCATGGGGTTCTATGTTTAACTGTGTTGCACAGTGACAGCCAACCTGTACCAAACACTCAAAATTAGCAGTGTCGTTTATTTAATATTTGTTTTACAAAATGAAAATAAGATAATGTGGTATAATTGCCAAAGAGACAGCTATTCACCAGTGACCAAAATACAGAGATTTTAACAACTATATAGGTCACCGTGCAGCTTTCAACAATTAGCGAAACTCGGAACCTTAAAAAGGCCCAAGCATTATAAACTTAAAACAATTCATAAGAGGCAACCCAACAGCCTGATTCATGCTAAAATAAATATACGGAAACAAATATTTCATACAGCGAAAATGATAACCACCGATTTACCGGCTCCTGACTTGGGACCGACATATAAAGAATGTGAATGGGTTAAATAATCCTGTTTGTGAGCCCTCAATCACTTTCTGTTCAAGAGTAAATGCGATTTATACATACTGTTGTGGACCATATATTGACCTTTAGGTATTTTGTGGTTTGTTGTGGTGTTCGGTTGCTGTTTCATTGGAGTATTCCCAACATATCTTTTTATTTTTGTCCATAATTCACGAAGGAATTTACAATCTATTTTATACATCAGTACAAAAAAATAAGGAGATGTGGTATGATTTCCAATGAGACAACTACCCAGCAAAGTTCAAATGAAGTGGATGTAACCAAATTTAACGAAATAGAACAAATGTTATAATAAAAATTATCAGTAGACAGCTCTCACACAAGCAAAAATTCAATAACAGTAAAATATAGGGCATGCACTACAAGCAGAAGGACACATTCTAATTTAATATGAAAATAAGAAGATGTGGTATGATTGCCAATGAGACAACTCTCCACCAGAGACCAAATAACGTAGAAGATATTTAATAGGTCATCGTACGGCCTTCAACATTGAGTAAAATCCATATCACATAGCAAGCTGTAAAAGGTCCTTACATGACAAATATAAAACAATTCAAATAAGAAATCTAACGGCCTGATTTATGTTAAAAAGAATAAACGAAAAACAAATGTTATATGCGGTACTAAACAACAACCACTGAATTACAGGGTCATGACTATGGACAGGCACACACATAATGCGACGGGGCTAAAAAGGTTTGCGGGCGGTCGACCATACCTTCAAGTTTACAACGCGATTTCTATGTGGTGAAAATTAAGGTTTATATATCGGCTGATGAAATAAAGATAGTATTGGACGTTAATTCTTATTATTTTATATATTTTATTTTGGTGAAACTCATAAGTCAGCATTCATCCTTCAGCTTTTTCTTCTTTTGACAGAACTGAAAAATAATAAAAAAAAATATGTAAATACATCGTGATTTATAGCATCTTAAATTATTTATGTGCACCATGGTTGGCTTTTATCTAAATTGTGCCTTAAGTTTTAAAATCACCAACAGATGAACGATAAATTATATGAACATTGAAGAAAACAAAATATTTTTAACTTTCAGAATAACGTCTGTTTATACTGTAAATTTCAGATGAAGAAGAAAATGAAATTACCGTTGACAGATGAACATGCGTTTGCTATAGCATTCAGTATCGTGCCAGTAGAATCCTTTGTAATGGTACCAGACTAAACAATTTGCCCTCTTTCCTTCTCCTGGTTCTCCAGGGTACCAGATGTTGTACGACATCGGTTCTAAATTCTCAATCCAAACCCAGCGTCCTTCTGTAAACATGTCCGTAGCACCAAGCCATACGTTGTTAGAAGAAACTTTACAGCAAATCAAAATAATTCAAAGTGATTACAATCTAATTAAAATTCAGATCTATCGTAACTTGCGTCGAAGTATGAGGATAACGAAATCAGAGATTGAAGTGACTAAAAAACAAACTTTCAACGAACGCTTGTTATATACAATAAAGCGACGTGGTATGATTGCCAATGAAACAACTATCCACCAGAGACTAAATGACGTAGATGTTAGAAAAAAATATAGGTCGCCGTACGGCCTTCAACAATAAGCAAAACTTATACCGCATAACAAGCTATAAAAGCCCCGCCTATCAAAATGTAAAACAATTCAAAAAAAAATAATGTATATAACAACGACAAACGAAAAACAAAAAGGATATGCAGGAACAAACGACAACCACTGAATCGTAAAAGTTTTGAATCTACCGACCTTCCTTACGTGATATGAAGTCTTTTTGTTACACGAGAGAAACTTTCGGATTGTTTAAACTCTTTGAAATGCTAAGTAATTCAATGCTGTATCTCACTATATGTGTTGATACGTTTCAAAACCATGAGATTCTAAGAAATAGCAGTGTATTCGTTATTTTCTTGCAACTATTTTACCAACAAAACTATTTTGAAAACAGACTTTTAATCTTATGTTTTTTTTAATCCATAGTTTACAAAATGTATGTACTTTGCATGAGGTATGACAAAATGAAATGAAGAAAACGAGGCAATATCAGGGTATACTTTAGTTATAGCTACAAAACTTGTTTATATTTGGATCAAAATTGTCTTGTAAGGAGATATCGAATGAATAAGAAGTACTATAGAGTAAAAACTGATAAATAGAAGGCTTTATAAGTTTGGTTAACTTGTGACATATCGATTCTGCATATTTAAGCATATTTAGGCAAATAAAATATGTTTAACTAAACCTGGATTATATTCTGATTTAATGATACTATGTACTATCACCATACCGAGAGAAAAAACCGAACCTATATCTACTACCTACCATATTTCATGGGTATAGATATATCTCTATTGATATAATTTGAGTTGGGAGTTATTTACCTTTTGGTAGTCAAACGGATTGATTTTCTCATTTGACAAACCAAGTACAAGCAAGTCTGATAAAAGATCCTTACTAGATCATAGTGATGAATTAAACAAGGGTTAAACAAATGAAAAAACATATGAAAACAACCTTGCTAAAGTCTAACGGTAAATATTACAAGTTGAATTTGGTTGATTTATGAAGGAATTTGTGTATATTGCCCTACAACATGGCGACAAGGGCAACAACTCCAGCTCATATTATTTCAATGTAAAACTATCTATTATAACACTGTACTTACTATCATTTTTTAAAGGAGACGTGTGATTACTTCTAGAAGTATTTATGAACCTCTTTAAAAGAGGATAGAACTCAAAGTACAAATATTTCAGACAGATTCAAAATGTTTACTGTGGTTTACATGTAATGCATTGCATTTCATAAAATTGTTTCTTTGAATAAAGGGTGTGCGAAAAACTTTTAATAATAAGAATAATACATATTCTACTCTAATTCTATCTGTCTACTATTTAAGTATGTGCATACCTCTTGTCATGGACTTGATGAACCTCATTTCTTTTTCATTAGAAACTGTCGCTAGGAATCCACCAATGGAATAACATAAACTCTGAAAAATCATTTCTCATTTATATTCTGAATATTTCAGTACGTCAATATAATTGTACTCGCTTTTCTTGTTAGTTGAAATTCACTTGTTCCTTGGTATCCCATTTTACAGGCGCCAAGTGCACTATATAACACCCCCTTTTCATTAATGTATGTGTTACCGATATTTTCAATGAACATTTGCGTATTATGTTTATCATATTTATTTACTGATTTTACTCTTATTGAGTAGCCTGTCGGTACATAAAAACCGCTTCCTTCGTTTAAATTTTAGGATAATAAGCTATATATCCGAAAATAACTGAAAAGAGGGAGGGGTCCAAGCGCATTTGGTTAATCCTATATGCTTGGTCATTTCCAAGTTTCTCCTTTTCAAACCTCTTAGCGCATATCAAATTGAACGCTTTTTATGCCCCACCTAGGGGCATAGGTGGGGCATAATGTTTTTCAGTCTGTGCGTCCGTTCGTCCGTCCGTTCGTCCGTCTGTCCCGCTTCAGGTTAAAGTTTTTGGTCAAGGTAGTTTTTGATGAAGTTGAAGTCCAATCAACTTGAAACTTAGTACACATGTTCCCAAAGATATGATCATTCTAATTTTAATGCCAAATTAGTTTTTTAACCCCAATTTCACGGTCCACTGAACATAGAAAATGATAGTGCGAGTGGGGCATCCGTGTACTATGGACACATTCTTGTTATTTATGAATTAACTGTTGTTTTTTTTTAACTTATTCAGGCATCATTCCCACGTGTAAATATAATTCTTGTTTACTTAAATATGTCGGAGACAAACCTGGTTGAATAAACTGAAAACCGGCAAGAATTGAACCGTACAAATAAAATAAAATCTTGATTAAAGAAAGGACCCACCTGAGCATCCATCCATGTCATTGGCTCTTCGACGTACATGTATTGCTTGTTCCGAAACTTCACCCATATATGGTGTCCAGTTGTGCATGAATTCCCTGTTTTACAATATTAAAATAATGAATATTTTATACTCTGATTTATTTTCTTATTTCTGCGTAGTATGTAACACATGTAGTTTTGATTAATTGATTATGTTTTATTTGTCAGTGCTGAACGTCCATGTGCATATATTTCATGCAAATTAAGCACGAGAACAATTAGTTTACTAGGATGTGAACAGAATTGAACTTTGATAACAAAAATTTAAACACACAACCATTCCGGTCAATTTTTAAAGTAATACCGTTAGTAATAGTTGATAGAAAAAGGCAACGAGTAATATAATTATTGCATGTCTGCCAGCAATAATGCGTTCCATACTTGTATAACCGCTTAAAATAATCTAATGACAGGTGTCATCAAAGAATATAATGCATTTTTGGGTAATATTTCCAAAAACGTACACCAAAACCTTGCGATTGGTTAATAATAGCTCTATACAATTGAAATTCGTTCAATGACGTGCCGTTATTTTTATATTAGGGTACGAACAATAGAATTACCCATAGTCCTCTAGATTCTCAAACGGCGATTTACAGTACACCGTGAAGTAGCAACATGCAGTACAGTAACATTGTTCCCAAGGATTGCGGCATGTTCTGTCACAGCAAGAGTCTAATATACCATGCAGTTAACCTCATGTAATTATTATTCCTGATATATGAATAGGAGTGTTAAATTCCTTATATTCGGCCGGAAAGAGCAATCGATGTGGAAAGTGTAAGCACTATAAATTACCATCTTGAAATTGCAAATTATTACACTCCACGATCACCACTCATTATATCAACAAGATAGAAATGAGTGTTTGTCAACATTTGAATAGATTATAAAATTGAACGAATAAAACCTACCAATGAAGGAGATCAACAAATTTATGAGTCCTTACTATAAAGTAAAGAGTCAAATGACGATTTTACATCATTGATACCGTGACATACGTTAAAACATATATTGTGAACATGAACATGCTTAAAAATTGTGTTTCTTGCTTCCTGCTACACTCAAACGTTTTTGGTTCGGATCCTGATTCACCTTTTTATCTGAATTTAGTTTCACTTGCCTAATAAATCATTTTGCTGAGCTATTTCCTGTATATTAAGTTTGACACAGTTTTGCTATTTACAATGCTGTTTCTGATGGCTTAGTTTATATGCGGCTTTGCTTTTTATAATTGCTTTTTGTCTATGTTTTTTTTTTGTGCTCTTGTGTTTTTGCTTGAATAATGTTTGTGTGTTTTATATGCTGACGTTTTACGTAGTTTACGTGTAGTTTACGTAATTATGCTCATTAGAGCTCATTTGACTTTTTGTTATATATTTCAAATGATCCGACTCTAAATAAAATGTACTACCTTCTTACTGTTTAGACTTGATTGCTAAGCATGGCAGGAATGTTTATGATAAATACACAAAATATGAATTATACAATACTTGTAGTTATGCACATAAAACACCATTCAATGTATATCTATATATATATAAAATATTCGTACAGTGTAGGAAAATATATAAAATTTATTTGACGAGCTTTAGAAACAGAGAATAGGAGGCTACTCGAGCTTTTCTCCTGCATGTTTCGTAGCGACTTCAAATAAATTATATATTTTCTTACACTGTACGAATATTGTTTTATTCTGCGTTTCAACATTGAGCTTATGTTGAATTTGTCACTAAAAATGAAATCAATATGACTTAAACGCGGACCGCGATGAGGACCCCAAATTGAAATGTGACGTAAACAGTCATTTGAATTTGTCCTGTTACTTTCTGATCGCTTATCTTTGATTATAGCCGGTCGTTCTCAACAAAAGCGGGACATCAGGAGACTATAAACGTCTACTATAACGTCATTACGTTTGTCGATTCATGTTATATGTCAACCTGTATTTGTATAGTAGAATGGTCGATTGCAGGATATAAATAAGAAACTATCTGTACATACCCAATACAAATATACAGATCAAAGGAACAATTTTCATCCACAAAGAGTTCCCCATCATTGCAGAGGAAATAATACAGTGAAAATTTCGATCATAGAAATGACCGTTTTGCACAAGTAACAGTTGATACCCTATTGATTGTCGGGAACATTAAAATGGAAGACGATAAGGTCAATGGTATTTATCTGCGGTTCGTTTTACTGTGACTTGTTTTACTTTTTTTTTTTATCTATTTACACCAAGATGTCGTTTAATGCAATTGGATACCCTGTATTTATCATGCTTTTCAATAACATATGGTCAAATCGAAAGACCCACTCCATAATTATTGAAAACTATCATTCTGCATTTACAATAATATCTTGGTGTAAGTAAGGTACACCCATTCGGGCTAATGCCCTCAAGGTGTATCTAATACTTATAAATTTGTTTCGGTAAATTCCCCGTTTCTGTCATATCGTCTCATGTCTTTCACCTCACCAATAATGGAAAACGGTAGATTTGTCTCGTTTGCGACTAAATCGCAGAATGCGAGATACAGGGATTCATGGCAATCCGCGGCGGTGGTGGCGGTGGCGTCGAAGGCGACGGCGTAAACTGTTTGCATAAAGCTTTATATTTCAGGTGGTAGAGGACCTGGATGCTTCATACCTTAAGATTGTATGCAGATACCTTATGTTACGAAATTTCCGTCTGTCATATGTCAATTTGTCCTTAACCTCATTTTCATGGTGGTTCAGTGACTGCTAGAAAAATAAATGTCGTTTTTTTTGTCATGTTAAATACTCACTTATATAACTATATTTCGTATATATATGGCTTCCTTGCAAGGTCTACATGTCTGTCAGACAGTTTTCACCTGACCTCGACCTCACTTTATGGGGCAGTGATAACGGTTTAATTTACGTGGTCAATTCCGTATCAGCCGGATTGTGTAAGCAATAGGCCAACCATATTTGGTGTATGGAATGTTTGTAAGGTGTACTGGCAGGTTATATCTGACCTTGACCTCATGTTCATGGTTTAGTAGACAATGTTTAGTTTCAGGTTGCGGTTTTGTCTATTTCTCAGATACTACAAGCAATAGGGCCTCTATATGGCGTGTATATGGAATGCCTGTAAGGTGTACATGTCTGTCTGGCAGTTTTCATATGACCTTGACCTCGTTTGCATAGTCTATGCTCACTGAAAAAAATACCTAGTAATCTCTACTAGGTAAACTAGTAAACTTACTGTCCATGAGATTACTAGGCCAGAAGTATATTTACTAGCCTTCCTAGTAATTATACTAGGCCTCCAAAGTAAATTTACTAGGCTACTTAGTAATTACATCATGTGTCCCTAGTAATTTTTGCTAGGCTGCTGGGTGAGTTTACTATTCTGAATAAGTAATATTACTACCTTTTAGTAACATAACTAGGTCTTCCTAGTGGCAAATACATGGTAAGACTAGTGATTCTACTAGCGTTAAGTAATTCTACAAACATTTCCTCGTAGGAATACCTCATTCAGCTAGTAACTTTACTAGCTATAAGTACAGGTACCAGGTCATCCTCATATGGTACTTTTTCTAACCTAGTTAGTTATGGTACAGATTAGGAATCCTTTTTTTTTTATTTGTATGTATAGTGACATAGCAGTGCAATTTCTTATAGCTATTTCCCTAATGTACCGGTACCATGTTCATAATGTTAAATCCAGAATTTTTTTATAAGGGGGACTTTTTACTGCCATGAAAGGGGGCCCTCAAGTCATGCTTCAATTTTTCACTGTATAATCAACCACATTTTTCCTATGAAATGGGCTCTAGTGATCTTTCAATTCAGGAAACACAATGCGAATGACAAAAATTTTGAAAGATATAAATACAACAATGACTGAAAGACAACAGGCAAAAACATCAGCAATAGGTCACACGATCCCCAAAATGAATTTTATTTATTCCTTGTTTGCCAATTAATGCAGATAAAAATTTGTTGCATTCTGAAGTGATAATTGACCTTGAATATCAATAAAGACAAAACCATTTCTTTCCACTCCTTGTTCTTGTTGTTTTCTCTTTCACACATTCTCCTTAAATTTACCCATATTAGGCCTGAACGCTTTACAGTTGCCTACATTGTACCTAAATTTGTCAGTGTGTGAAGTTCAGCAAACTAATTTTGAAGATAATTCCTACATGTTTTATTTCAATAAGATTCATTAAATCAGAACTGTACAATATATTTGATTAGACAATACAAAGTAGTTAATTTCAATTATGAAAAAAAAGGTATCAAACTGACAACAAACAAATACATTATATCCTCAATTTACCACAAAGAAACCATTTAAATTCATATCTATAAGCTGTACTCTAATCAATATTAACTATGTTTCATATTTAGAAGATTCAGTTAACAATTCTAAAGTTATTTCGAATAAAATTCGAAATGATCAGTTAAACAACCCATCTAGTTACATGTATTGCACGGTCCTTGTTTCCCCTGCATAACCAAAATGAATAAACTCTCCCTCAAATAATATTTATTTAAAAAACAAAGTAAGACTTTAATATCAATTATTTTATGTCGTCCTACTTTTAAACACTTAGAAATAAAAAAAAATTGTCAAGAAGTAAGTATATACAAATTGTACCTACATGTAACAGTTTATAACTTTATAAAGCATGACATCTTATTTTTTGTTTCTTTAAAGCACTGTAAATTTTAGTTTGAGCAAACAGATCCAATTCAATGTCACCCCTCTAGAGCACCAGGATCTAAATACATGTCACCCATCTCATATTGCACTAGGATCTAAATCATTTTCACCATTTGCTCAGGACTACATTCACATTTTACATTATGAAACTTGATCTAATCTTATTTTGACCTTAATAAACTTGAACGGGTCAAATCATGAACTGATTTTATAGTCTAAATCTATTGAATTCTAATATTGGCTTGTATCAGTTTTTACATGAATGAATAAGTTGACGCAAAAGTTTGTTAACATTTTCGCGGAACTGTCATGTCTACAGATTACACTTTCTCAAATTTGTTTATACTATATGTCATAGATGACAACAAAAACAAATAATCATACTTGTACTGAGACATCAATAGATGTAAATATAAATGTTTATTATACATGTATAAAACTTTTCATACTATATGTATCTGCATCGTTACATCGAAGCTACCAATTCTGGCTTTAACTTGACAGGAGAGCGAGCCCCTATTGACGGCCTTGGTGAGCTGTTTTGAAGCTCTCAACTGACTTGGCGCACACTACCTCTTCTTCCAGTTGGCTCCAATGAATCACAGTTTTGACGAAGAATGTGTTTTTAAATTGCTCGGTTTCACAGTTTTTTGTTTCAATAGCCTTAACCAAGTTTATCACTTTCAAAGTCTGAAAAGCGTGTCGGCTTGATGTTCCTTTTGGTAAAGATTGCTTTTTACCAAGAATTTGTCAGGTTTGATAGCTGGGACCATATCCTCAACCACTTTGTACAGAAATACTACTCTTTGGCTTGTTCTTCTGAATTGCCGGTTTTCAAGTTCTTGTCAGTTTAGCATGTTGGTGACCGATGCTTCATTAAATCTATAATCCCCTGTGATTTTTTCTGAACCTGAAATTATACAAAAATCCATAATAAAACTACATGTACATGTACGTGTTATTAATATTAATTAATATCGATTTACTAGAACTCTACTGTCAATATCTACTAAACATTGTAATCAAAAAACTATTTTTCACTTTGTTTCTTATGTGTGATAGCTGAGTCATCATGTCAGACATATATATACACTGTACATTTATGTGCTGTTTTAGCTTTTTAATGCATAGTATTTCAAGTAAGACTTTAACAAGTGTCATATATATGATTTAATATTACAATCTACAATTATACTGCTATAAAGAGAGTTAAAATACTGGCAAAAACAATAACTTGTCACAGAGGCATGTTTAAAATATACTTTTTATAAATATTTTCGTATTTGATTAAAAAACAAGTTAAGGCATCACCCCTACTAATCCAGTGTTGGTACATTTCTGAGGGTACATTATTCCAAAAAACATTGGTAAATTAGGAAAAAGTGTATTAGCCTTTTATAATTTTTAACACTTTCCATTTTCATCAGCTCAGAGACGGCTAGCTTTTTAGAAAAGCTATTACTTGTGTGAAATTTGAATCAATCAAGTGTACACCTACATCATAACATGGTGCATGTATGTCATCAAGTATATTATGTGGTGCTTTTAAATGTTTCTCAATTTTATATTTGATATGAAAATATTGAAGATATACCATGTATTGACTGTCTGTTAGTTTTGGTAGGTTCGTTTTTACACTACATGGGCGCAGCCATATTAATTTCATACAGAGGCGTACTTTAATTATATAATCTTAAAACGTTTCGGATTTAAGTTACGGTTTTCTATGGTGAAGTTAGAATGATCATACTATTAATTAGTTTTCGTATTTAAAAAGAAGAGATGGTGTTAAAATAAAAATAACCAAATCTACATCTTGTAGATCTTTATCACGCATCTCGTTCCCAAATAGGTCATCAAAATGTCGCCCCGGCTATGGGGTGCGGCTGCCATGTCAGACTACTGAATAATGATCAATTTGTTGCACATTTCATACACTTTGTTATTAAATTGGGGCATATAACACATAAGATTGAAATATTCATTGATAGACTTATTTAGAAATCAAACAAATTAACTTAAATAGATCAAGCTTGTTCCACGTGTCACTGGTGCTTTTTCTCAAGGTTAACTTGACCATCTTCTGTAGTACATTTTACGTGAAAAGGCGAGATGGTGTGGTTCTTTTTTTGTGTAAAATAAGTTAAGACGATAAAATAAAACACAAATTAATTAAAATACTTACAGCTTTTCAACGAATCAGGCCAAAAATACTCAGATTCTTCTCTTGATTGCGGTCATCACTTCATGTACAACAGAAGCCACGCGAATCTGATATCGTCCGGCGGGAAATCCTGTTATCAGTTGCACAGCTGGTGCTTGGTAATACGATTCATCCACGATAGTAAACATTCTAGTCTAATTAGTTGTTTGGTAATCTACTAGGGACTTTTAATGAAGTACTAGCCAAACTAGTAATCTTTACTAGGTATTTTTTTCAGTGCTATTTTGTCGTGGTTTTACCACATTAAAAACATACTATAGGCAATATGTCAATTATATTTGGTGTATGGAATGATTATAAGGTGACTGTCTGGGTGGCAGGGTTCATGTGACATTGACCTCATTTTCATGGTTCATTGGTCAATGTTAATTTTACATAGTTTTGTCAGTTTATCAGATACTATAAGCAATCTGTCAATTATATTTGATAAATTGCGGTATACATGCATAATTCGTTTTCTGGAATTCCACCCCTTAAAAAATTCTGGATTCGCCGCTTGTTACAATTAAAAGTGTCACATACTTTTTTGTTCGTTATTCATCATTGGTTAAAAGGTGTTCATTTTCTAGTGATATATATCGAATTTGAAAAAAATTATTTTGCTTTTAAAAATTTCAGTCTGAATTTTTTACCTTTTACAACTGAATATTAGCATTATATTAACTTGTGACATACATATACCTTTATGGCAGAAGTTTTTTGTGATATTTTATCCTCGTATTATGGGTTTTCGTGCTATTTAGAATGCATTGTGACGTCACAATTCCCATTGAAAAGACATGCATAGTACGAATTCATATGACGTACGAACAACATATGATCTGACGATATGTGGAATACTTTTAAAAAGGAATTTTATTGTGCCCGTGTAATATATAAAAGCCATATTTTCCATGTGGATTTTGTGTCCGTGTATTATGAGCCTTGATTTTTAAATCCTTTTGGATGTGTTCCTCATTTGCAGAAGGAAGGTACAGAAAAAGAAGAAGAAAGTTGACCGTAGGTACTCGTTGCTCTCCCCTGTACAAACTAAGACTTCCAATAATTTCACCACAAATGAAATCCCCCGACAATTTTAAAAGTTTGTAACATATCACCACAACGTCGTCTTTTGTAAGCATAAAGAGTAGAAAATTTGAGTACTTTTAATCTTATTTTTATACATTTCGCACTACTTTATTACATCTGGAATTAATTTATTGCTCTTTGCACAGATTTTTTTTGAGGCACTGGCTACGATTACCCGCAAAAAGTAACAATCAATATGATTAGAAATAATTACATTACATGTATGTTTCATTATAATACGTTATTTTGATTGGCTAACAGCAATCTTGCGTCATTCTGAAATTTATCTTCATTTCAACATGAAATGTAACATTCATGATAACACGAGCTTCCACAATCACAGGAATCAGAAATTCTATCAATAAAATTCTGTAAATAATAAAGTCGACTCTCAATAGAGCTACTAGGCTCTATTGATGGTCGACTTTATTATTTACAGAATTTTCTTGATAGAATTTCCGATTCCTGTGCCACAATAAAGTGCACAGGTAAAAAAAAGAAAAACTTGATAGAAATCGTGTTTTCATGATCCTAGCAAAAAAATGTAATTATAAGCATAAGTATTGAATGCTTCTTTTAGTAATTTTATAGGGTTGTAAAAGCGTTGACCGTGCGCACATTTTTAGAACGCGCTTCATACAATATGTACTTCAGTCAACACTTTTACACCCCAATAAATTTACAAAAAGAAGCATTCAATTCTTAAATAATTATTGTTACATCCGAAACTAATTGCCAAAATGTATTTCCGGACAGAGACCTGATTTCATACAGAAATTGCTGGTTACAATTTTATCGTTTTTATTGTTACCTGTAAACTTTATAAATTAACATAAAAGTCTGTCCTTTGCAGATGTCTTTACTAATCATTTAAGTGTAATTTCATGGAAAATGAAAATCTCATTTGTCTGTTATCTTCAGAACACTGCTCATTTACAAGCCCCCAAGGAGCAATTTTTGAAGGCCTTTCACAAATACTTAACATCTTTGCGCAATCAGTTTCTTTGTTGAAATAATGAGATGAAACATTGAACTGTTATCAAAAATTATGAGCTAACCTGAGAAAAATTGTTAAAGGCATGATTTTACATCTCAAAACTTGAGAATTTTTGTGGGATTGTAAAAAAAATTTACTTATACAAGTAAATTTTTGAGAAAATTAAGGGGAGATTATTCAAACATTATAATTAACTTATATAAGTATATTTTATTTACTTCTTCAAGTAAATAAAGATTACTTGTACAAGTAGTACCCCTGACTGTTGGTGGATAGTTGTATTTACTCTATTCTTTACTATATTCTACATGTTCTAAATTGCACCATATTTTCAAATGTGTTAAATATTATCAGAAGTCCATTACTAGAGTAATGGACTTTTGATATTATGAATGTGTGTTTATTGAGTAAAACTGTTTCAACAGTAACTGTTGTTGTGTCAAACTGATGTCTGTATTTATGCGACTATTAAAAAGCACTGTATTGGTATTTTTTCTTTCTCATTTAGCCTATCTATGTTAGTCATGGAAGTAAAGGACAAAATTAGATATTTTATTGCCAAATGTGCAAATATAAAATCACTACAGACTTGTATCAACAACAGCAGATGGGCCTGCAGAGACAGAGTTACCTCCCCTATTCAGCCTAGAGAAATATTGTCATCAGCGTTTCAGACTTCAATTGTTATTATAATATTCAGTGTAAATAATTGCCATGGTTGGCATGGATATGTTACGATGCAGTCTGAACCAAAAATTGATGCAAATAGCGATAAAGAATTTGATGAGGATTCAGAGAAATCAGATGATGTCGCTGTGGGAAAAGAAATGCTGAATACCAATAATTTGAAAAGGGATGATGATCTGTCACCATGGTTTTATTTCAATTTGAAATGGATTACTGAATATTCGTCTCAATTTGGAGAACAATGTCTTCCGTTCCAAAAAACAGCAAACTTTTACTGTATTGATAAAATGCCACTAAATAAAGCCAGGAATTGGCATGAAATTGATAAGGAAACTGGCCAAGAACTTTGTAAACAAATGGATGAGCATTATAAAAAGTTAAAAATGAAACAGGAAGAAAAGGTCAAATTACATGAAAGCAGACTACCACCACCCTTCATGAGACCTGCAAGGAACACAGAAAACTTTATTGAAAATTGGTCACAGTTGGTAAAGAAGGTTGAGAATGAATTAGGAACAGTTTTATTGGCATGTCCTTTTGGAAGTCAGAGGTATATTTTAAAAGAATATTAAATTAAAGTGAGGGCTGTCATGGTTTTCTTGATTACCTGTTTACTAGGGTAATTTCTTTATGATTATTTTATTAACAAGGGTATTTTTATGTGATCATTTGATTCCCAGACCCCTTCTTGATTATTTGATTACCACAATTTGAGAAAAAAATATTGATTACCAGGACAAACATTTAATGATTATTTGATTACAATGACTAAAATTTAATGATTATTTGATTACCGGGTACCCCCCATGAGGACCCTCTAAAGTGATACAAAATTATACAGTTTTTTTTTCACAACTATGAAAAATTGTTTATTAAATGCTAAGATTTAATACATTTTGTAGATGATTAAAGAAATATATTAATCTTTCATTGCATTTTGCTTATGCGAAAGGGTTAATAAATTTATAATTGAAGACCTTTCTCTGTTTTACTTTAATTTCATTGGTTCTGTGAGAGTGAGTGAACATGTCTTGTATTTGTTGTAAACTTAAGGAACAGGTATTCTATGTTGTTTTAATTCCAGCATGAACGAATGTTCCACCATAATGACTGTATGTGATATATTGGATAATATAATTAACAAATAACTCATGGCAATATGATGCCTCATAACTGTTCATTGACATAAAAACAAATCTCCCAAAAAGTATATTGACCAAGGGTCAACAAAGAGCATGTCTAAAGTGAATCCTGACTTAATAAAGAAACCTTTCAAAAGTGAACACAAGACATACAGTTAATAATCAATGATAAATTAACCTGTGTAAACCAAAAACCTGTCTAATCTGAACAAGATCTTTTGTCTCTCAGGTGGTTGGTTTAGACAGGTTTAACTGTATTTCCATTACGGCGCTGATTGTACGATGTTTTACTTTGAAGGTACAACTTAGATACAGAGAAAAGTGATATGGACATGTTTGTTATATACCAAGCTGATACAAAGTCATTACTAGGGTTTGATAAACAACCTCCTCAAACTGTTAAGGTATTGTATTTAATAATAGGATAGTCAAATATTTTATTACCTCATGGTTTCTTAAATTCTTCAGTTTAGTTACAACTACTTTACTGTATAAACATGATAAAATACATTTAAAAACCACTAAACACTGATAGTACTGGAGTTTTGCTATACTTGAAAAAAGGAAAGACTTTAAGGTGGTTTTTGATATTGTACATGTTGTATCAGAAAAATGAACTTGAAGGCCATACAGTGACCTATAGTTGCTAACTTCTAGGTCATTTGGTCTCTGGTGGATAGTTGTCTCATTGGCAATCATACCACATCTTCTTTTTTTGTCCCCTGTGCAAAGTGTTGCGTGGGACATGGAAATACCTGCCGGCCATCCGTCCGTCCGGCCGTCTGTGGGTCCGTCCATCCGGTTTTGTTAGCGCTCTCACATGTACAATTCTTGCCAGATTTTTATGAAACTTATATCATAGGTTTATATCATCAATTTCTTAGACGAGTTCGAAAATCAGTGCCGATCAATTATTTTTGAAAGAGTTATGCCCCTTGGAAACATTAATTTTATGGAAAATTGCATCGTTAGCACTGTCACGTGTACAATTCTTGCCAGATTATGAAACTTAAATCATAGGTTTATATCAGCAATGTCTTGGACAAGTTCAAAAATCAGTGCCGATCAATAATTTTTATACGACCGCAAAAAATTTTTTGTGGTCGTATATTGGTATGACGTTGGCGTCGTCGTCGTCCGGCGTCGTCGTTGTCGTCGTCGTCGTCGTCCGGCGTCGTCTGGCGTCGTCCGAAGACACATTGGTTTTCGCACTCTAACTTTAGTTTAAGTGAATGGATCTTTATGAAATTTTACCACAAGGTTCAATACCACAAAAGGAAGGTTGGGATTGATTTTGGGGGTTATGGTAATAACAGTAAAGGAATTAGGGACCAAAAAGGGGCCAAAAATAAGCATTTTTGTAACTTCCAGACATAACTTGTGTGTTAGTGTATGGATCTCTCTGACATTGTACCACAAGGTTCCATATCACTAAAGGAATGCTGGGATTGATTTTGGGGGTAATTGCCTCCAAATTTTAGGAATTAGGGGCCAAAAAAGGGGCAAAAAACAAGCATTTTTCTAGTTTCATGACAATAACTTGTGTGTAAGTGTATGGATCTTTCTGAAATTGTACTACAAGGTTCCATATCACAAAGGGAAAGCTGGGTTTGAGTTTGGGGGTAATTACCCTAAACGTTTAGGAATTTGGGGCCAAGAAGGGGCCAAAAAACACATTTTTTTCTAGTTTCCAGACAATAACTTGTGTTCAAGTGTATGGATCTCTCTGAAATTGTACTGCAAGGTACCATACCACAAAGGGAAGGCTGGGATTGAGTTTGGGGGTGATGAATCATAATGGGGGTTCAAAAAATTTTGGGGGGGGATTTATTTTTTTTTCCTTTTTTTTCTTTTTTTCCTTTTTTGTTTCTTTTAAAAATTTTCCATTTTAAGTTGGTTATTTCTGATTTATATTTAAAATCAAATAATAATGATATGGTAGGAGATACACACCAAACAGGATGTGTAAATTATTATATAATAAGTATTGTGCAATAGCAAGAAATTTTCAATTGCACAGTATTGCACAATAGCAAGAAATCTTCAATTGCACAGTATTGCGCAATAGCAAGAAATCTTCAATTGCACAGTATTGCGCAATAGCAAGAAATATCCAATAGCACAATATTGCACAATAGCAAGAAATTGTCAATTGTACAGTATTGCACAATAGCAAGAAATATTTAATAGCACAGGATTGTGCAAAAGAAGATACTTCCTATAAATTGCTTATTTCTTGACCAATTTCAATGGGGTTTTATTCTTGATTTCATGGGGTTCTTTAATATGCTGAATCTAACCGTGTATTTAGTTTTTGGATTTTGGGCCCCGTTTTTAAATTGGTCCACATTGAGGTCCAAAGGGTCCAAAATTAAACTTTGTTTGATTTCATCAAAAATTGAATTATTGGGGTTCTTTGATATGCCGAATCTAACTGTGTATTTAGATTCTTAAATTTTGGTTCCGTTTTCAAATTGGTCTACATTAAGGTCCAAAGGGTCCAAAATTAAACTTAGTTTGATTTTAACAAAAATTGAATTCTTAGGGTTCTTTGATATGCTGAATCTAAACATGTATTTAGATTTTTGATTATGGGCCCAGTTTTCAAGTTGGTCCAAATCGGGGTCCAAAATTAAACTTTGTTTGATTTCAACAAAAATTGAATATATGGGGTTCTTTGATATGCTGAATCAAACCATGTATTTAGATTTTTGATTTTTGGGCCCCGTTATCAACTTTGTCCACATTGAGGTCAAAAGGGTCCAAAATTAAACTTTGTTTGATTTCATCAAAAATTGAATTATTGGGGTTCTTTGATATGCCCAATCTAACCGTGTATTTAGATTCTTAATTTTTGGTTCCGTTTTCAAATTGGTCTACATTAAGGTCCAAAGGGTCCAAAATTAAACTTAGTTTGATTTTAACAAAAATTGAATTCTTAGGGTTCTTTGATATGCTGAATCTAAACATGTATTTAGATTTTTGATTATGGGCCCAGTTTTCAAGTTGGTCCAAATCGGGGTCCAAAATTAAACTTTGTTTGATTTCAACAAAAATTGAATATATGGGGTTCTTTGATATGCTGAATCTAACCATGTATTTAGATTTTTGATTTTTGGGCCCCGTTATCAACTTTGTCCACATTGAGGTCAAAAGGGTCCAAAATTAAACTTTGTTTGATTTCATCAAAAATTGAATTATTGGGGTTCTTTGATATGCCGAATCTAACCGTTTATTTAGATTCTTAATTTTTGGTTCCGTTTTCAAATTGGTCTACATTAAGGTCCAAAGGGTCCAAAATTAAACTTAGTTTGATTTTAACAAAAATTGAATTCTTAGGGTTCTTTGATATGCTGAATCTAAACATGTATTTAGATTTTTGATTATGGGCCCAGTTTTCAAGTTGGTCCAAATCGGGGTCCAAAATTAAACTTTGTTTAATTTCAACAAAAATTGAATATATGGGGTTCTTTGATATGCTGAATCTAACCATGTATTTAGATTTTTGATTTTTGGGCCCCGTTATCAACTTTGTCCACATTGAGGTCAAAAGGGTCCAAAATTAAACTTTGTTTGATTTCATCAAAAATTGAATTATTGGGGTTCTTTGATATGCCCAATCTAACCGTGTATTTAGATTCTTAATTTTTGGTTCCGTTTTCAAATTGGTCTACATTAAGGTCCAAAGGGTCCAAAATTAAACTTAGTTTGATTTTAACAAAAATTGAATTCTTAGGGTTCTTTGATATGCTGAATCTAAACATGTATTTAGATTTTTAATTGTGGGCCCAGTTTTCAAGTTGGTCCAAATCGGGGTCCAAAATTAAACTTTGTTTGATTTCAACAAAAATTGAATATATGGGGTTCTTTGATATGCTGAATCTAACCATGTATTTAGATTTTTGATTTTTGGGCCCCGTTATCAACTTTGTCCACATTGTGGTCAAAAGGGTCCAAAATTAAACTTTGTTTGATTTCATCAAAAATTGAATTCATGGGGTTCTTTGATATGCTGAATCTAACCATGTATTTAGATTTTGGATATTGGACCATAATAGGTGAATGTCCAATTTAAAATTTTTAAGTTCTTAGACCACATTCAATCTGTGTTAGAAACCTATGCTGTGTCAAATATTTAATCACAATCCAAATCCAAAGCTGTATCAAGCTTGAATGTTGTGTCCATACTTCCCCCAACTGTTCAGGGTTCGACCTCTGCGGTCGTATCAAGCTGCGCCCTGCGGAGCATTTTATTAATGAATAATGCCCTTTGGAAATATAAATTATAATGGAAATCACATTGCATTTGCTCTGAAGCCTTCATTTCTCTTAAGATATTAATAATAAAAAGTTTTAAAGATCAGTTATTGCCCTTGTACCTTGGATAGATAAAATATTTGCAACACGGGGGACATTGGAACTCTGTTCTTTTATTATGTTGAAATGGAACCTCATATGTTGGTCCTTAACTTTAAAAGCAGAATTTAAAATTATACAATACATGTATATGATATGCAAGTCATTAGAAATTGCAGAAGTTTTAACATGCTTAATATGGTTTTCATTTTTAAGCTTGGAAAATTGTTTGATACAATTGTCTTTTAGGATGTCAATGGTAACTCAAAAATATTCACACTAAAAATATTAGTACAATGTATCCTATTTATAAGCATACAAGGTTACTTGTTTAGATATTTTATCAACATTTTACAGAGTAGTGAGAGGGAGGCTTTAGATTATACAGTACATGAAGTTTACAGATATGGAGAGTTACTATTGGCAGGAGACCATAGATGTGTAGAGACTTTATTTTTACAAGAATCATCATATGTTGCTTCTTCTGAAACTATCAAACAACTTTTATTGAAAAGGCATTTATTTTTAAACAGGTATGCAACAGCTCCTTGGTTCCTGGGAGATATACAGGAACAAATATGAATATGCCATCCTGGCAATGTGCATTATTTGTTGAATGCTATACTTAAATATGTAGCTTTCACATTTATGGTTTAGTCTTTGACTGCCACTGGATTTTAGAGCCTTCAAATTAAATTTTAAGTTCTAACTAAAATAAGGAGTAGTGGTATGATTGCCAATGAGACAACTCTCCACCAGAAACCAAACGATGGGATTTATGCATCTATAGGTCACTGTGCAGCCTTCAACAATGAGCAAAACCTATACAGTATAGTAAGCTATAAATAACCCTGACATAACAAAAGGTGAAACAAGTAGACCAACGGCCTGATTTAAAAAACGAAAAGTAATACTGTGACATGGGAGTGTTTCATCTCAGCAGTTTTACAAGAATGGCAAAGTGCTATTCTATATTATGAAATTCTTAGAGCAAGAAAGAAATTGAATGTAATATAACAAGAGGAAATGTCTGTAAAAAATTTTGATGTATAATAATAAGGGAATATTAATGTGGTTTATGTTTGCAAATGAGACATTTTCCTCCAATGAGCAAAGGACGAGGATGTAAACCACAGAAAGCCTTCAACAAAATACATACCGTTTTGTTATTAACTATAGTAAGCCTTTATTTTACGTTGTTAAAGTTTATCAGCAGGCTTTGCCCATATTGTTCAGTGATCGTACATTCAATTTCTAGAAATTGTTTTTATTTTCTTATGAAAAGATAGTGACAATGTATGAATACTTTTTATTTGTAATTCTAGTACATTTTATTTTTATTTACACATAACAAGTTGTTTCTATTTGACTTTTTGTTTCAGTTTATGTCTAGATAAATATTTAAGAGATGCTTTAGGTAATAAAGGACTTAAATTATTTGAGAAATGGACTAAAGATAAGCCATATGATCTTCAGATGACTGAAAGACAATCAAAATTGGCATACATAATCATTAGGCTCTTACAGAATGCAAAGTAAGTTTCCAGCTTCATTCCATCTTTTTTCACTATAAACACTGCTCACATTTCTGAATTATGTCCCCTTATACAGTCAAACATTCTGTAAAGTTCACCTCTTTTGAGTGAAAACCATTCTTGTCATGTCACCTTCTTGTCCATCTGCAGTATTATAAAACCTTTAATCATTTTGAACATCAATTCAAAGGGCACCTCTCTTATAAAGTAAGTTTGATCTACTCTTAGAGGTGAATTTTATATGCAGATTTGAGTGTATGTTGAATATACTGGTATATATATTTGAATTTAAAGCTAATGTACAGGTTAAATGAGTACTTTATTAGTATCTTAAGCTTGATTGTGGCATCTTTGTTAAATGTTGTATTTTTGGTTTGATGTCAGTCAGTATAAAGGATACTGTAAATTCTAAAATTATTGCAAGCATTTATTATTGCAATTTTGTCATTTTAGACCAAATGCGAGTTTAATTTATTGCGATTACTACCCTGTCACATTTTTTGCAATAATAAAAACCACAATAATTTCGGAATTTTTCAGTAATCAACTTTTTGTGAATCAATATATATAAAAGAAGACATTGGGTATACTTCAATGACATAAGAACCAACCAACTTTACAAATTACAGCCTTACAGTTTTCGTCTCTGTTTTTGGCCATTAATAGTTGTAGATATTAAGCTGATATTTGGTATAAAATTTAATAATGATGAGACAAATTTCACATATAAGTTTTGCTCTTGTTTTATTTTTTTTGAGTCAGCTTGAAGTTTTGAACTTATTATAGTCATTCGACTAAGAAAGTTAAGTTAAAACAACAGTTTTCTTCTCCATTTTCTGTTGTCATTGCAGACAATGAGTTGATATTTGGCTTATAATACATGATGTATAGTGATTTAATAGTTAAAGATTATGTTTGAGTTTCATTATGGTTGACATACATTGGACCTAATTATTGCAATTAAACACAAAATTTTTTTTAAATGAAAGTGTTATTTACTCTGTTTTCAATCTGGAATTGGGGTTTTAATTGTATAGTCACTGTTTTCAGATCATGACCTAAAGGAGTAGGCCCAGTAAGACCCCTTTTTGGCCTCAAAATATAGCAGTTTTACAAAATTGTTAAAATGTAAGTTTTTAGCTATTTATTGGAAAGAAGAATACTTCTGTTACATAAATATGGGCTGTTTTTGACAATACAATGCACATGTATCGGGTACTAGCATCATTAAGTCATGCTAAATTACTGAAATATTCGAAATTTTAGCATTTTGGTTAATTTTTAGACGGTTTCCGTCTGAAATGGAAGTGGCCGCATTTGTGTTCATTCTTAATATTTAAATGTAAGTTGTATTTGATGATAATACATAACATATATAAAGGTTAAGAATGAACACAGATGTGGCCACTTTCATTTTTGACAAAAACCATCTGAAAAGTGACATATTATGGCATATTTGATAGATTTTTCATATTTAAGCTTGAATTTGAGCGTCTTTAATGACTTAATCAGTTCAAATCTTTCACAGAAACTGATTGAATCGACTTAAGTAGACACTTAAGTGTTTGAAAAGTGTAAAAAATCTTTCATCAGATGAACTTGAATTTTGAGGCCAAAATCGGCCCTTACCGGACCTACTCCTTTGGCATGAGAACACACTTATTTCGTAGTGCATTTCTTTTAGACAATAAATTCAAATTAAAAAAATCGCACCTGCTCTATCTCAAAAAGATTTTTACAGTGTAGTGTACTACTATTGATACAAATAATATCAAAATTATAGAAACTTCTACCAGCTCTAACTCAAAATATTGACAATTCTGTGTTAAGGGGGGCTAAAATTCAGTTTGACAGCTTCAGACATTCTAATTTTTGACCTTTTTTAACTGGACCAAATCACTACTTAACATAAAGATTCAGCACCCAAATTTTTTTAACATGTAATTTCATCCCCTTACTTAATATTTCATGCATAAAATATTAAGAAATAAATTGGAAAAGTGTATAAAAAAAAAATGCAAGTTATACACTGTTCACACTAGGGACTATATTTGTAGACAACGAAAACCTAAGGACGATAACTGTGTCCTTGGACCATTTTGCCTATTTGTCTTCATGAAAATAAAGGTTCTCCATTGTTAGTCCTTATAAAAGATTTGCTGTCTGTCTTTAATTTACAAATGCAAGTTTACTTGCTCGTATTCAGCCATTGTTGTAGATATTGAACTGATTCCTGGTACATAATTTGTAATGAGAAGATTCAGTTGGCTGCATTACAGCATATATAAGTATTTAGTTTTTTGATAATACCCGTTTTAAATATATTTAATGGAGTTTCCGAAAAAAAGGCTTCCTGCAACAAATCTGGACCTTTAAAGGGATAGTGTTTTTTTTAGGGGTTACTAATAAGTATATTGTTTATGTATATGTAAAATGTGTGATGAAGATCTGAATTTCTTTCTATTCTTGTCATTTTTAGGAATGTTGTTGATAAAGAAGATCTTCAAGTTTTCAGATTAAAGGAATCACCAGAGAGAAATCTACTAATGTCACTTAAGTCAATGGAAAATATACCACCAATACAATTTGTTCTAGATGAAATCAATAGGTAATTGTATTTTTAAAGTAGTTTTTTTTAAGTTCAGTGAAAAAAATCACAATTTGTTTTCTTTCTATCCCAACAGAATACAGGTACTGTAAACCAACAAATTTTTGCAACAATCATTTATATGACTTTTGAGAGTAGAAAAATAAAGCAAATATAAATTGGCACAAATATGTAACATTTGGGTCCATCCTTTATATAAATACATCAAAAAAATTATGAAAACCGTGAAAACATAAATTGCCTCGAAATCGACTGAAAAGGGCTATACACGAAATACAGTATCTGCTAATTAAGTTAGTTTACAGATTTTTGGCAGAAAGCAATTTTCAGAACATAACATTTATTTTCTATTGGTCTAGTTTGACAAATGGGATTTTTTTTGGAAATCGAAACATAAACTCACTTTTACCAATATTACAAGAGTGCACACGCTGAAATGTCTCGCCTTCTTTACTAGTCATTGATACTATGTTGATAGTCCTAAATATAAAGCTTTATTACAACTGTCACATAAACTAAACATTAACCTAGTAAACTAAACATTGACCAATGAACCATGAAAATGAGGTCAAGGTCAGATGAACCATGCTAGGCAGGCATGTACAGCTAACAATTCTTCCATACAACAAATATAGTTGACCTATTGCTTATAGTTTAAGAAAAACAGACCAAAACACAAAAACTTAACATTGAGCAATGAACCTTGAAAATGAGGTCACGGTCAAATAAAACCTGCATGACTGACATATAGATCATAAAATATTTCCATACACCAAATATAGTTGAACTATTGCATATAGTATTAGAAAAAAAGACCAAAACTCAAAAACTTAACTTTGACCACTGAACCATGAAAATGAGGTCAAGGTCAGATGACACCTGCCAGCTAGACATGTACACCTTACAATCATTCCATACACCAAATATAGTAGACCTATTGCATACAGTATAAGAAAAACAGACCAAAACACAAAAACTTAACTATTACCACTGAACCATGAAAATGAGGTCAAGGTCAGATGACACCTGCCAGTTGGACATGTACACCTTACAGTCCTTCCATACACCGAATATACTAGACCTATTGCTTATAGTATCTGAGATATGGACTTGACCACCAAAACTTAACCTTGTTCACTGATCCATGAAATGAGGTTGAGGTCAAGTGAAAACTGTCGGACGGGCATGAGGACCTTGCAAGGTACGCACATACCAAATATAGTTTTCCTATTACTTATAATAAGAGAGAATTTAACATTACAAAAAATCTTAACTTTTTTTTCAAGTAGTCACTGAACCATGAAAATGAGGTCAAGGACATTGGACATGTGACTGACAGAAACTTCGTAACATGAGGCATCCATATACAAAGTATGAAGCATCCAGATCTTCCACCTTCTAAAATATAAAGCTTTTAAGAAGTTAGTTAACGCCGCCGCCGGATCACTTTCCCTATGTCGAGCTTTCTGCGACAAAAGTCGCAGGCTCGACAAAAATTGTGAAATCTCTCTTGATTGGTAGAAGTAATCTCCCTTTTGATTTAAATTTTTTTTTTATTATTTTGTAGGTTTTGGATGTAACCGTCAGATTAAGATAATTTTCACATGTCACCGACTTGTTTAAATATGCATAGATCATTTAATCATTAGAAGTCCTGTATGAGTTTAGTTGTTGGTCTTTGTAAGCCCTATGTAAAATTTAGGATTAATGCTTTATTAATTTTTCTTTTAAGGTTAAAGAATTATATAGATGAAAATAAAGACAAGGTTCCTGAAGCATCAGAAGAATTAAAGCTGTTTATGAATGATTGGATATTGACTCTTAGAAAAGAGAGATTTATATGAATATATTATAACATGTTTGGTGAAAAAAAAATTGTGATAATGATCTGTGATAGACATTCTTATTATGGGGTCATCCGTAATTCTCTTTCAATATTTCCGAATCATAGATGTAGTGAAAAACAGTACTGTAGTTGAAAGTTGCTGCCATCAATTGGACAGTCATAAATAAAGTTATACTCAGTCTGATATTTGCCAACGAATTAAAGCTTTAAACTGAAGGTTATTCATTACTTATACAATTCAAATTTTGATATCGCAATAAAACTACTATTTCAGAAATACTAGTTGTATTAATTTTGTTTTAAAGTATGAATCAATCATGGATTTCACCATGTTATTATGGAGGCTCACTGGTTAGTTAGGACATGATAATTGTGGATTTGATGTTGATTAATGGACAATAAAAAAAATATTTTAAGACTTTGTTCTTTACTTCCTTCTTTAAGTAACAGTCAAAATTATTTAGCTGATTTTTCAGACCTTATCCATTAGTAAAAGTAGGTTGTTATTTTAGCTCAATATTGTTTTGAATGAACACGAACTATTAAATTAATTTTGTTTATTCTGTTGTTGAAATTGGTCAAAGTTAGCTCCCTTTTAATTTAAAAATAAATTAGTTTGTTGTTCCAGATTTAAGGTTTTGGGATTCACCTAAACTGACAATGTTTTTCTCATGATAAAAATCTGCTCTATTCTCATCTTAATTATGTACTGTTTAATTAATTATTTATTTAATGTCAATAATGCTACATCTGTGCATTCATAAACACAGATGCAGAGTCAAAGGCTGACAAAATAAATATCTTGACATCCAGACTGAGAGGCTACCATTCTGACTTCAACAATGAGCATGAACCACACATCAAGGCTTCAAGTGAACCAATTTCGACCAATTATCTAAGCATTTGCTATACCAATGAGCATGTTTGAAATGACTTGCAGTGCCTAGCTGAAGCATCATACCAAAATTTTAGTACAGCTATAGCAATATGACATGAACCATTACATATAGTGGAGCAGGAAGTATTTACCCTTCAGGAGCATTTGAGATCCTGTATGTTTTGTGTGTTAAGTGTTCCTCAATATTCTTTAATGATCTGTATAACATTTTGTGAACTACTGTTTGTTTTGTTATGGTTATCTTGTTTTTGTTACTTTTGCCTTCACATTATACCTTTGAAGAGGTGATAACATATATATATATTCTAACTAAACAACCTAAATAAGGATCAATCTTCCAAGAGACTCAAATCTATTTTAAAATATCCAATTTGAAGATATTATCCAAGGGCATTTATCTTGGTGAGGCATCTACCCTTTGAAAAACTCCAACAAACTTGATAAAAAAAACCCTCATATAAACCAACAAAATTTGTTTTCAATGAAACAAAGGGTTACACAAACATTGCCTTATTTGGAGTATCTTTTCTGTAGTATGAACATTGAAATACAGACTTTAGCATCTGTACTACAGTATTTAAGTTATGGTAGTACAGAATGTTATGGTCAAACTGGCATAATAACAATATACTATATAAATCAATTATTATTTTTCTTTATTTCTTCACAAATATTTCATTTTGTCTTGTGTTGAAAACAGTTTATACAATGAACTTAAGACATAAAACATGAGGTGACACAGACAATATTAAACAAAACTGTCTGACTATAGAATTATCTAAAAAACTTTACAACACATCATGATCAGCTGTCATAAGACTTTGTGTTGCTCTAAAATGCAATATAGATATAGAATTAAAATAGTCTAAAATATGATGTAAGAAATACAAGTTTCAGTAAGATGTTATAAAACAATGAAATTAAAAAATAACAATATATATATAAAATTCTTAAAAAGCAAATATATCACAGTATGCTTGCTCAAAATATAAAACGTAGAAAGTGTTCAAGATAGTCTTGCTTAATAGTAAACTAAATTTAGAGTTGTAACATGATTAAACCATAGATTTTCTTCTGATTCATACACATGATTATAGTTTATACATGCCAACATATATTATAATTTGGTTGTCATAGCCTGATAAGAACACAGAAAACTTAAAAAAAAATTCTGATTAAAGATTTTTGTTTTATGTTTGTTTTAATCAGTTTTCCTTATTTTATGATTGATTTGTTTAAATTGATTTATCAACTGTTCAATGGTCAGTAAGGCTATGACAAACTATTTTTTTTAAATATAGCCTGATAAAAACATTGATTGCACTGAATATGATTTTATCAGGTCAACTTAATCCATGATTGAAATTTATCATGATTTGACTTTCTCAAAAAACTAAAATCTTCAGAATAGTGTCCATTGTCAAGAGGCTTCTTTACACTGTCACTGGATTTCCACTGCCAACATTTTGGTATTCTGTGTTGTACATTTTTGGTGCTGTCATTACAGATTTAGTTCCTGGTGCTAAAAATAGACAAGATATTTAAAAAAAATATTGGAACAGAGAGATAAACATTTGAATAGAACATTATGCATGATATTGTTGTGGGTCACACTTTTTTACAAATACTAAAAGTATTTTCAGACAACAACCAGTACATGATAAATGTAATTGGCTGATTTACTTTCACAGTGATTAAATATTGTAATAATCAAGTACATTATTTTATATTTTGTATTCTAATATGACGTTCTTCAAACGCTTTGAGTACACACCCTTGGTAAAATTCAAATATATTCATATGTCAGCTGATAGGCAACGTAATGATGTGTTTGGGCTTTTCCAATCCTACTCCCACGTCGTATGCTTTTTATGAAAGATTTACCTCACCTCAGATGGTGTAAATGACACAATTAATCGATGACGTAAAAATGTAAGGTTTTTACAGGAAAATACATGAATGGGAAACTGAAAGTCGTCAAAACATGAAAACATAAACAAACAATGGTAAGAATTTGTATAATGTCCATATCTTCTTAAATGAAAGTAAGATATTCAATTTTCTTGATCCAAATCTGTCTTAGAATGTTATTGTATATCATATAAGAATCAATTTTCTTCATCGTTTACGACAATATTAATAGTGTGTTCAATTACTGGAACATTTCCCTTCACATAGAGCGCTCCTATCCAAATGAATCGCTGTCTGTCCTATTAGAATAGAAATAATTCATGAGGGCTTGAATTTATATTGATTTTACCATTGGTTAGCCCTTTATGCTGATATTTTACCCCTCGCTGTCGCTCGAGGTAAAATATTTAGCATAAATGGCCAACCCGGGGTTCAAGCCCCCATGAATTATTTCTTAAATGAAACATGGTACTGCAATTTTTTTTCCCTCATATACAATGATTTTAAATTTTGATTTACTGTTAAATCCCTTCAATTTCAAAACATAAAGTGACAATATATCCATTGCAGGCTAATGTGACACTAAGCAATTTATTAATCAAAACCATGACATTTTAAACCAAAGCATTGATAACCTTTTTCTATAGCATCTCCGTTTTTTCCCATAAATATTACATCATTTCATATTTCAATAGGATGTCAGTACTTCAAATGTCAGAGCTAATTCATAAACATCATGAACATGTTCAAGGTTAACTGATTGAATGATTGTTTGTGTTTAATGTGTCTTTCAGTACTCATTTCTATTCTCAACAAGAAAACTTACAATCCTAGTCAATTAAGACCAGAAGCTGTAAATGAGCAACATAGACACCTTAGCCACCAAGGCCCACAAGGTTAACTAATTAGTTATAAGAGGTTGATAGTAAACCAACATTTTGTGTGGTAATGTAGTAAAACTTACGTGGTAGGACCCATGGAGTATCTACAGGACAATAGAAGTTTTCTTTAGCTTTAACATCTGTTGGTTGGATAAAAGATTCTGTGTACAGTGACTTGAGGCCTCCATGTGGCACTGGCAGTAAGGATTTAGGCTGGCGAGGTATTTTTGTCCTTGATTTGAACCATGTGGGATCTATCATAGGTAACTGTTCTCTACGTACATTATCTTTTGGTACTGGACTGAAATTAAATGTAATTTTATAAATAAAACATACCATTTAAGAATCAATATGTACATATATGAAAGAAATACATGTATGATCATAGACTTTAAGTTTAAAGTATCCTAACTTTCTTCAGACCTAACTGCCATTTTCATAATACTTAATCACATGTCAAAATGCAAAACCCAACATTCAAGTAGAGTAACTGCAGACATTATAACAAATAACATGTACTGAAGGAATTTAAGAGTTGTCTCCCATCTGACATCTCACAATTTCATTAAGTCCATTGTGTAAGATAATCAGATGTGCCAGGACAACAGGAATATATCTTCCTGCCAAATTTAAAGGGCCCTAGCCTAATTCCATCAAAAGTAGGTCATCCAAAATGTAGATGGACTTACCGGTAGATCTATAACTAAATATCATACACTATATTAGAGTTTTTTGGAAGGACTGAATGACAGGGATTGGTAACAGTTTAAGTCCCAGTCCCTGAATGATATAAGCATAAAAATATATTTAAAAAATAAACAATTGTATACCAGAGGCTTTGGATGGGGTTTACAGAGTAGAGAAAAATGGTAAAAAAATCGCAGAATAAAGGGCACAAAAAATAAAGAACAGAGAATCATGGGGTGCTAAAATATAAAGAATAGAGAATAATAGGGTGCCAAAATATAAAAAATAGAAAATAATGGGGTGCTAAAATATATAGAAAAGAGAAAAATGAGGAAAAAATATAAATAGACAAAAATGACATAGAAAATTAAAGAAATTAAGAATACAGAAATGGACCCCCATACCACTCCGATGACTTACTTGTGTTTATTTCCATGTCCCCATGCTTTAGGATAATCCTCACAGTCCCAGTAAGTGGCTACATCTTTCTTGGGATATTTTTTCAATTCATCTGGTTTAAATGATCTATGGTCTTTTTGTGTTGTTGTGAGGTAAGGGTCCATTAGTGTAAGCACACCCTGGTCTCTCACATAGAATGGTTTTGCCTGGAGTTTTGGATTCTGTGTTGATCCTTGACCATACTTTTGGTAAAAGAACAAATTTTAATTTTAAAAGAAATACCATTTAAATTGGATCATTTCTGTTCCTAAATTTAAAACTAGTATTGTTTTATATCAAAACTGTATAATGGTATAAATATAAAAATATATTTAAATGTCATTTATCTGGAATTTAGATTTATGCACAAATCATGTTCACTCAGACTGAACTTTGCATTTAACTTGTCACTGGGCATTAAACATCCATCCATCATCATCATCATCTTTGTTTTTGGTGGTTTGTATACTTTTTAGACATAAACATTTACCACTCTGTTCATAAAACTAAGGAAAATGCATTGTGCAACTAAACAGATAAGTTTATTATTTGCAATTCATATTTTCCTCTTGTATGCACTTATTTTTCTTAAATGAAAATAAAAATCTTTAAATTTTAGGTCATAACTTACCTTTGAAGGTCCTTCAACATGGTGGTCCCACTGTGTGTACGTTTGTGGGATGTTCAGACCAGCTGCATCGTCAAAATGATATTTTTGTCTTACTCCTGCTTTGTTTCTAAATTCCTCTTTAGTCTCTGACATCTGATTGCCAGCAGACAGAGGCTTCCTCCAGCCTCCTTTATCCAACTAAAATGGCAAATTGAGTTCAATTAACAACAGAAAGTGAATTCATGTAACAAAATGTTTGTTGACTTTCAGATCTCATTCTATGTCTTTTTTGTGTTATTTGGTTGCAGTCTCATTGATGTATACCCCACATATCTTGTTAACAACAAAAAAAATAATATATACATATTATCAAATATATTTAGATGATCCAAAACAGGTTTTAGTTGAATTTCCACATAAAATAAGTCTACCAATATTTGTTTCTGAACATAAGCTAGATTTCTTCTTAATGTACGTATATATATATTTTCAAGAAAATAATGTTATATATGTGAAGGCAGACATTAAGAAGAAATAATATACAATTTATAAACATATATATATACATGTACAAGTCTAAATTGAAAACAACGTTCAAACCTATGATTGCGTTGGATAAAAACCGCAATTTTTATGTGTGTGCATGCAAAACAAATTTCTTGGAAGAGGGGTCTAAATACAGTACAAACAACATTTTCCAAAAGACCAAAAAAGTGAAAAAGTATATTTTAACAAAACCAATTTGACTAGCAGGTCGAACAACAGATGTTCTTAAACCCTACTGACTGCCATGGCGATTGCCAAATAAACGGATCACCAGATGTAACAAAATGGATCTTAATTATTAATTTAATACCAAACAGAAAACAGTAAACTTGCCGAAAAGATGGTATACCGCAAACATAAGGTGCAAAAATTGGTACACCATATCGGGATTTCGAAATTAATGTCTCTTCAGTGATGTTAGGAATCAAAACGGTATTTGGAAGGCCATATAATTTACCTCAATTTAGGATTGACTTTTGAATATGTATATATATGTTTATTAATTGTATATTATTGTTTCAGTAAGCCAGACTTTTCATTGTTAACATCTCTAGCCCAAATTAGTTCACCTTTTCTGCTAAATCTTTAATATAGTTGACTTTCCAATGACCTGGAGCTTTAGTATGGACAGTATTATGAAATGGTCCATATGGATATTTGTTATCGTGGGCTTTCCCAGTGGTGGTCTCAAAGTGTTGATCTCTAGTAACTTCATCCTGTTTGGCAAGTGGAGGAGGAAGTGGTTCTCTTATTAATGTCTGAAATAATTAAGAATTTTAATATTATACATTTTAAATGAGTGATCATATTTTAAAGCAGAAAAAAGATTACATGTAAAAAAAATAGTATCTTTACATTTTGTACAATTAAACATGTTCAAATGGAGTATCATAAGGTATCGAATAATATATCATAAATACTCAGGTTATCCAATCCAGTAAATAGACAAACTATTAAGCAATGCCATATTCTTCTTAGCAGTGTGCGCTGAAATTTGGCTAATTAACAAATAGCCATGAGGTGTATGCAAGCGAATGCATATTGCATACCCTCACTGTATATGTTCACAATGACGGAAATATGTTTTAACCATGCATGTAACTGTGGTTCATTATAAAAAAAAGTATGAGACACATTTGAAAATAATGTGGTGCCTTGCTTCTTGGATATACTAGCTAGTTTAAGGTTGTTTTAAAGTCATTAATAACAATGAGCCACAGTCAGTTCATTTAAACATCTAGATCAGTTTGTAAATATATTAATGTGTTTTTATTCTTTTTTGGAAAAAAATTTTTGTTGATTGCATTTAAAAAAAAAAAAAAAAAATTTCTCAAGTGTCTGATGTGCTGATCATGATTTGACATTCGGTGAAGATACCCTCATTTTTATGCCCTTTGTGCTTGTGAAATCAAACTACCTTTTGTATTGGTGCTAATTTTATTCATCTGTATATGAGATTAGGCTCCTAAAAAAATGTAGGTAGGAGAGTAACTTAACTTTTTTCTCCTCCTGAATATGCTTGAAACATTTCCCATAGGGTACTGAACTTTAAGCATGCAACACTTCTGTTATGTTTTAAGGGAACTAAACCTATGTACATCTGTACTTTACTAATTATAACCGAACACTAGCATATCATAATAATAATAATAAATACTTAAAGAGGGTAACATCAATATAAGTACAATACTAATCTCCCACGAGGCCCTTTGAATAACTCAAAATATATCATAATATATACAACTTTGTTTCCTTAACATATTTACACTTGTATGCCATTACTTTAAATCACACAAGTTCCCGTAAAATTTGACATTACAATTTTAAAATAAAAATGACGTCATAATTAAAAAGTGATTGTTGCTAGACGTCAAAAGGTTATTCGGAGACAAAATTCAGCTAAATACCAAAAGTGTAAATACGTTTGTTAATAAGGTCCCCTATAAAGTAAATAAGGGTCCAAAGAGCAATCAATCAATCTCGATTCTTTGTCAGTACCGATTTACAATATTTAACATTACTCTTGGGTTCATTATGCTGACATTATACCTGGAATTCGGAATCAGGGAAATAATAGCCAGGTCTGTGATGATGTCCGACACCAGTCGAGGTTTGTTGCCAATCTTGACGAGGCTCATATTTAATCTCCTTAAAACTCATATTAACGTTAGAGTATGCCAATAAAACAGATCGTTTAACAGTTTTTACTTCACAAACAGACTACTATATGCTCGTTTGATGTCCTTAATCGACCATTTATCGTTGTTATTCCCTTTAATTGTTTGAGATTCCTTCCGTTCCTCTCTACTGTGTATCTGTCGCCATGTGAACCAACAGGAAGTGAGTATGGTTGAAGCAAGGGACGATACTCGTGTCGAATTAACTTTTACGCGGGAATTTCTTTTTTTAAAAGTGATATTTATCAAGGAACAATAGAAAGTAATTTTTAATACGTGGAAAAATAATGTATATAACGTTAAATGAAGAAAAAAAGTCGAATATTTGTTATTGAGAATTGTTACTGAAAAATATACTTAAACTTTTATTTCTGATGGAACTTTATCAGAGACAAATATCATAACAAGGAACTGTATAGGCTAAATTTAGATAAACATTGTCAAGTCCTTGCCTTTAGGGAACGACCATTTAACAAAATATTCTGATCCCCAATTTGATGAAAAAAATATTGTGGTCAAGCAGATGACAAAAAAAAATATTAAATTTTGAAAAAAAATATTTGATTGATAGAAAAACTTAAAAAAAGATTTCTGACTCAGACAAAAAACCATAACCCCCCTTGAAGTTAAATGGTTGCTCCCTTATGTATGACAATTGGCAATATTGAGTCTTATAACTGTACAGCTTATTTACTTTGCATTGATAATTTTCTATTATAATATTCACCGAGTTAATTGTACATGTACAGCATATATTTGAATTCCCTAAAAATATTTGCTTGTAAATTAAATGTCTTTATACCAAACACGGAAACTAATATAGAAAAAATAAAGAATAGAGAACATAGGGGTGAAAAGTATAAAAGAATAACATTACCGTGGATAATTAAAGAATTAGGTAATACGTACATTGCTGATTACAGAATTGAACGATGCACAGAGTAAACAAATCGTAGGCCCCTATAGTTGCAGACAAATTTAAAAGCAAAATAATTTTCATTAGACTGACTTTACATAAGAAGCGTAATTTTCAAAGATAAAGACACACGCCCCAAAAATTAAAGAATGCAAAAATGAAGGACCAGTACAATCATTGAAGACCCTTATACGAGATCTTAAAAAAAGGCCGATGATTGAAATCGTCAACTGACTCCTTGTAAGCCGTTAGAGCCCCTAAATACGATTTTTATTTGATTTTGGCTTTAACTTCTCAAAATTCCACTTCCTCATACAAGGTGATAGGACGTGCCGCTGGAATAGGTCACATTTTCCAGCTTGAAAATACGTGAATAGGTGTGGAAAACTGTCAGAAATATATGATAAGATCAATAAATGAAAGGCCCTGTAATTTTTTCACAGCCCGGAAAGTCTCGCCGTAAGTAAACATTACTAAGGAATCTGAGCCTCAAATCTGAGCTCCGAGCAAAGGTGATATTTTTCTCGATTATGCCGGAATGTGATTCTCCTTCGCTCCTGTGATCATAATTAAAATATGGTTAAGGTTAAATTTTTACCTATGCAATATATGAAAAGATATACATTTTTAAAATCTAAATTATATGAAAAGGATGGGGTAACAGAACCCCAGCGACACCCCCTATCAATTAAGTATTGAAGTCCCCCCTCCAGAGCCCAGACATAACAAGAACAAAATGAACGTCTACAAAAAAGTCATTATGATTCGGTTGGTTAATCGACTCCCCAGTAGAGGAGTGATTGCCCTCAAATCACGAATTTTGACCAATTTTGATGTTTTTACCTTCTATCTTGAAAACTAAACTGTAATAGATAAACACAGACGTTTATCAGCAAACACGATTAGCATCTGTACATATAAACAGGTATCATGAAGAAATCTTCAACTGACTCTAAATAGAGTTCAATTAATTGACTTATTATTGGAGTTGTTGCCCTTGAATGACGAGTCTTACCCATTTTGTGTTTTTGACTGTTGACAAAAATGAAATAGATGTCTAGATGGCATGTCAGTAACTGCTAGTAGTCCTTTGTTAATTTATGTATCATTGTCATTTTGCTTATTTTCTTTTGTTACCTATTCTGACATCGGACTCGGACTTCTTTCAAACTGAGTTTTACTGTGCGTATTGCTGTGTGTTTGTTTATTCTACATTGGCTAGAGGTAAAGAGGGAGGGTTGAGATCTCACAAAACATGTTTAACCCCGCCGCATTTTTGCGCCTGTCCCAAGTCAGGAGCCTCTGTCCTTTAATTTGTTAGTCTTGTATGTTTTTTAATTTTAGTTCATTTATATGTTTTGGAGTTTAGTGTGACGACTATTTTCATTGAACTAGTACACATTTTTGTTTAGGGGCCAGCTGAAGCCCGCCTCCGGGTGTGGAATTTTCTCGCTGTGTTGAAGACCCATTGGTAACCTTCGGCTGTTTTCTGCTCTTTGGTCGGGTTGTTGTCTCTTTGACACATTCCCCATTTCCATTCTCAATTTTATAACATGTTCAACAAGAATAAATTTACAAAATGTTTACGTCTTTAAGTATAAGTTGTCAGTTGACTTCTTACCGTGAGAAGACGAGTTATTGCCCGGCTGCACACCCCTCCTTATGGCCTAAAATATTTGTTTTTTTTTAATCAAATTTTTCATAATTCATAGTGCCTCCTTTATAAAATTGCCGGATCCACCACTGAAATTTTCAATGGACTCCTTGAAAGAGCTTTGAACTAGCTGTAAGTAAATGCGAGTACTCTCAGATCTGTACTTAGTGTCTTTTTTATTGTAAGGGATTGGGGATGGATATATACCCTGTCACGTCCTGCCTGTGTTTTTGTTTAATGTTTTTATTTGTATCGATCTGATGAGTTAAGCCTTTTTCAACTGATTTTTATAGATTGTTCTTATGTTGTGCTGTTACATCACTGTCCCAGGTTAGGAGGAGGGTTGAGCGCTCACAAACAAGTTTAACCCCGCCACATTAATTGTGTGTGTGCCTGTCCCAAGTCAGGAGCCTGTAGTTCAGTGGTTGTCGTTGGTTCACGTCTGTCATATTTGTTTTTCGTAAATTGTTTTGTTATAAATTAGGCCGTTAGTTTTCTTAATTGAATTGTTTAATATTTTTCATGTCGGGGCCTTTTATAGCCGACTATACGTTATTGGTTTTTCTCATTGTTGAAGGCTGTACGGTTACCTATTATTGCTTACATCCACTTTATTTTAACTTTGGTGGATAGTTGTTTCATTGGCAATCATACCACATCTCCTTATTGTGATAATGGTTACCAACAAGACAAGATCTACAGAAAGGACAACACGACTGAAATATTAGCCGACTCCTATAGCTAATATTGTCCTTTAATTAATATCTTTACCTATTTTAACATTTTTAGCTGATCTTATCTTAATAAAAAACGAAGACAAAGAAAAATTTAAACTGCAAAATAAATAATAACTATGTAAAAACAATTCCCCCAGAACACCAGAAGGCTTGATTTTACTACAAAAGGGATACCAGATGGTAAAAAAATTGCAGCCGATGATCTACAATACTTTCCCATCCAAATCCGATTTGTTTCGGTTTTTTTTTTTTTCAGAAAAAAAATACGATACTTTTCGCGAATCCACGGAAATTGTAGTGCATCATTTTATGGTATACTTTCAATGTCTCTAAATAATCACCCTTTTAGATTTCATTATTTTGGTGTGAGCTATTTTTTTTTTTCAATATATAATTTTTAATTTGTTTTCGTCGTGAAAAGTTGTCATCAATCATGAAATGATGTCAAGGTCAAATGAACCGTTTCTGACGGACATGTTTACTAGTATATGTAAGAGAATGATAATCCCTTTCTTCATGAATAAGTACGAGCGTTAGCGAGTACTTATCATGAAGTAAGGGATTATCATTCTCTTACAAACTTAGAATATTGTAAAGTGCTCAAGGCTCAAATGATCTATTCAAGAATTAGTTTCATTGTCAGTGCAATGTTTATAATTGATGCATGACTTCCTTTTTCGGCATGTCATTTATGGATTAGTTTTAGTGATGTGAGGACTTTCGTATCATTTGGGAAATTTTTTTTTTTAAAATGCGTTATAGATATTAGGTGACACAACAGTAGAAAGAAAAGGTAGGAATTGTATGTGTCCTGATTGTGAGTATGAATGTAAATCATGTAATATTTTAGTGAAGAATTATCCTTTTTTTATTTACAGTTTAAATCAATTAATACATTTGAGTTACAACTAAATTTTATTTCACAGCCAATAATTTGGTCCGGCTTTTTACATCAAATACTGTTTCATTATGTCAGGGAAATGTTCAAAAATAATGCCCTTAAAAGTTTTTAATATGTTCAAAATTAAATTCCTGTTTTTTTTTATCGGAATACATGTATTGGAAATAACTATTCTCCCCAACCGCTGATAAAGTAATCAAAGTTTTGGAAAGCTAAAGATTTAGATCATTTTTTTTCTGAAAGATTTTTTTTCTTTTTTTTTTTTTTGCATTGCTTTAGTATTGTTTAATTTTATAGTAATTTGAAGTTAATAATATTTTCATAATAACATTGACGGTACCAATTTTACTGCACCAGTAAACCTCAACTTATTTTGAGATTTTTTTGTTTCACAATTCAACTTTTAGTCAGTTTCAATCACTGTGTGATATAAAATCCTTTCAATCTGATAAATGTGCTTCGGGGCAGTTGTAACTCATTTATAGAAACTCTTTGTTTTGAACTGTAAATAGACCCAAATAATAGGATAATCCCTTACTAAGAACATGATTTACATTCATTCTTCACAATTAAGAGGCATCCAATCCTGCAATTTCATTGGTCGAGAGTACTTTGCTATATTCTAATGAAAGTTACCTTTTCATAGACTATCCAATTTAGCACATATTTACAACTCGAGTAACCTTTTAATTGATCTATTGATAGTTTATTTTGGCTGACTACTTGTATCACAGGTGTTTGTAAAACGGAGCTCATTAACGAAGTTTTGTAAATCTATTCACTAGTATCATTGTGAAATATGTGATTTCAAAAGGCCCTTGACTCCAGAATGAAAAGATGGTATAGCTGCTGTTGTAGGTATGTTTATAGGTATAAAGGGCGGTGTTTTACTATACATGTACTTCCTTACATGGAAAGATGACAAAATAAATTGACCAAAAGCAGGCAATAAATTGCAGTGGAAGCATTTCATGTCTTGAAAACATTTTTTCAATTTCACAGTAAAACTAAAAGCTATACTAAATTTGAAACATATAGATAGTATGCATTGGCGGATCCGGGAGGGAAAACCCCCATTTTTGGACGATCAATGCTTTTGAATTGGGACATATGGTTGGACCCCCCCCCCCTCCCCTGTGTCCTTTGTTGGAACCCAACTTTTAAAAATTGCTGGATCCGCCCCTGGTATGTCCCCATAGATAGTCTAGCGGATAGTCATTAAAAAGCAACTACCAATAGATCAAAGATACTAGTTTTTTTTTTATTTCAAAGTAAAAACTAAAAGATGTATCAGAACATGTATATATATATGGGTGGCACATTCTCTTCCGACATTATTACGGTTTTTAAATTCACGACATCGTCCTGAACATGCATGAAATATTTGCCACTGGACATTAAGCAACCAATAATCAATCAATCAATTCATGACGAAATAGATCAAGTTGCCTTAATTTCCCTTCTTATATATATCTTTATTCTGTTAAACCTTTGCAATTACAATGGTATACAGACACTACACGACATCAATAAATAAGGTTTCACAAGGTTTCATAGTATACACTTTTTTGTGTACAAAGTAATTGCATGGATGATAAATTATCACAATTTTAAGATGGCGTTGTACTCTAATCAAGGTAGTTGTTACTCTTTATTTAAATGAAAGAAACTTGCAATCGTCAAAAATATTTTTTAGATCCAAAGATTTTAATAGCAGAATATTTTAAAATCAATGTGAAAACTATATTACCAACTATTTAATTTAATTTGGAACACAGTATTTTATTTCAAAATAGCCAGTGGCAATATTTGTTTTAATATCTTGATTACGATACAATGAAATCTTACCCTTGTGGTCATTCATGCGTAGTTACTTAGTACACGGGAAAAGTATGTACTATGAAAATTAGAAGGCAAATTCTAGCAATTTGATTGGACGAGAAGTTGTAAGTATGTGCTAACTTGCAATAGATTCTACATACTAACTTTAGTTGTCTTATTATTCATAACAACATCACGTGATAAAAGAACTGAGGTTTTTAATTGGTCGTTGGACCATGAAAATGAGGCCAATGACAAAGCAAATAGGTTGACACAGAGCTATGTTTCGCCTGTCGGCATAAAATTCAGAAAAAGACAATCTGATAGACAGCAACATTGCTTATTAATTCAGTCGCTGGACCATGATCTAGTGGACAGGGCCTGAAAATGGTCGACAAACTGAGATGTACAGACAGTAATGTAACTTTATAGAAAATATCGTTGTCTATTGCAAGTAGTACCTATCAATGTAACTTAAGCAGAAAACTTAACATTGAAAATTGCTAGTTTATTCAAAGTCACTGGACCATGACCTAAGGGCCAGGGGACTCAAAATTGTCGTCAAACTGATATGTACTGATAGTAACGCAACTTTATAATACATATCAATGATCTATCATAATTCGTTCCTATCAAACTAACTTAAGCAGAAAACATCTTCGCCGTCACCCTGGCCAAAACGCAATCCATATGTCTCGCTTTCCGCGACTTTCGTCGCAGGCGAAACAAAAAAAATAAGTTTTTAATTGGCCATAGGTTCATGAAAATGAGGCCAAACACAACGCAAATATGTCTGACGGAAAGTTCAGACCATGAGGTATATAGATTATCAACTCTTCTTCCTGCTGATGAAATATTATATTGCACAGTCTTGTTTTCTTAGACTGCTGACGGCGTTTTGTACTAAATCCGTTGGAGTTGCACATATAGATATTTTGGTCTGGTAAAACATGGTTTCATACTTTATACTAAGGTGTAACTGGGCTTTTAACTAGCTTCCAGTAACTGCGAGTACTGTTAGATTGGTCCTTTTTGCATTTTGTTGTTTTCATGTTTTTGTTTTCGTGATAACATGTTATCTTGATTGGATGAGCCCTTGGAACCAGTTCCAACTGCTTTTGACAGTTGTTTTATGTTTTATTGTTACATCACTGTCCCGTGTTAGGCAATGAGCGCTACAAAACATGTTTAACTCCGCCACATTCTGCATATGCCTATCCACATCCAATATCTTGTTTTCCAGTGGTGGTTAGTAGTTGCTTGTCTGTCATTTTTATACCACGCTTTAAAAAAAGTGGGGGTATACTGTTTTACCCTCTGTCTGTCTGTCCGTCCGTCCATCCGTCAGTCCGTCCCATGAATATTTTTCGTCGCATCTTTCTCAGGAACTATATCATACGAATTTCTGAAATTTGGTTTCAGGGTTTATATAAGTCAGCTATACCATATGATGCGTTTTCAGATTCATCACTCAACAACTTCCTGTTTACCGAACACTTACATATTTTTACACATGACATCCAAGTTGAAAATTTTCGTCACATTTTTCTCAGGAACTACATTACAAGGATTTCTGAAATTTGGTTTCAGGGTTTATACAAGTCAGCTTTACCGTGTGATGCGTTTTCAGATTCATCACTTAACAACTTCCCTGTTTACCGAACACTTACATATTTTTACACTATTAAAATTATCCACTTGCGGCGGGGTATCATTAGAGAGCAGTAGCTCGCAGTTTCCCTTGTTTTTCAATTTTTGTCTTGTCATCATAAATCAGGCTGTTGTTTTCCTCTTTTGATTTGTGTTAAACTTTGTCATCCCGGGGCCTTTTATATTTGACAATTTGGTACGAGTTTTGTTCATTTATATGTTTCGGAGTTTAGTGTGGCGTCCATTATCGCTGAACTAGTATACATTATTATTTAGGGGCCAGCTGAAGCCCGCCTCCGGGTGTGGGATTTTCTCGCTGTGTTGAAGACCAATTGGTGGCTTTGGGCTGTTTTCTGCTCTTTGGTCGGGTTGTTGTCTCTTTGACACATTCCCCGTTTCCATTTTCAATTTTATATGTACGATGTTTAATTCAAGAAAACTTACCAAATATTTAATGAATGGCATACATGTACCTATAAACATATAAATATGGAACTCTACAGTCAAAAACTAAAATAAAGATTCTAACCTCTAATCACAAATTTTGTGATCGACAGAGGAAGGTGACACTTTCGATGTCTAAAAAAAGTTTATCTTTCTTGGAAAACATTTTATTGGGTCTAATATTTATTGTGCCAATACTTTCAACAGATAAAAAAAGCGTGTCATGCATGGGTTAATAGAGAAATATAAACAAGAAAAAATTTTAAAAAATGATATAATTATCACTACGACATAAAATGGAATTCAAAATCATTACTGAAAAGGTAACTAAATTGCCATGAAACAAATAATAACAGACCTAAATGAGGATCTGGAATGGGTTTATAGAATAGTAAATAATGGGCAAAAAGTGCGGAATAAAGGGAAAAAATACAAAAAAGGGAAAACTGGGCAAAAATAATCAAGAATAGAGAAAAATGGGCTGCTAAAATATAAAGAATAGAGAACAATGGACAAAACAATTAAAGCATAGAGAAAAATTTTCTAACAAATAAAAGAATGAAGAAATAACGGACCCCATCCAGACCCTCCTAAATGCTGTTGACATAAATATCACATATTCACAAATACTATATACACATTGGACTAAGCCATTTAGTATAAAAATGAAGAAATATATAATACATTATCCATTTTTTAAGTCTAACTTCATTAGTACAAAAATTAAACATATTAACATTTTTCAGCACTTGTACATTTATCTACATTAATATATTTAACAGCTATGCTGTATTATTGTTGTTTTGGACATTACAGTGTATTTATATTATTAACAAGAATGTGTCCATAGTACACGGATGCCCCACTCGCACCATCATTTTCTATATTCAGTGGACCGTGAAATTGGGGTCAAAACTCATATATGAAAGATCATATCATAGGGAACATGTGTACTAAGTTTCAAATTGATTTGACTTCAACTTCATCAAAAACTACCTTGACCAAAAACTTTAACCTGAAGCGGAACAGACGGACGGACGGACGGACGGACGAACGAACAAACGGACGCACAGACCGAAAAATATAATGCCCCTCTACTATCGTAGGTGGCGCATAAAAATGAATATTGCATTTTACTCATCATCATTAAATAGATATAGTGGTCTATGACCTGCATCTACTTTTGTTCCTGAATCATCATTCCATAAAGTACAATAAGCTTTCATTTTTCTTTACATTTTAGTCGCACCAGCAGTAGACGGTGTTGTTCCATTACTTATTGTTAGTATTGTTCGATGTCCGTTTGAAGGAGTTCCATTCCTAATTCTTACAGCTGCAGACGTTTCTGGTGTTTCATGAACACCTTTGTCTTGAAATTCATTTTCTGTTGTGTATGACTCGTTTTCATATGCCATTTTTGTGTATCCTGAAAAAAAAGATGTCGTAAATTAGTAACTGTTATGTAAAAAACAAGAGTGAAATGTCTCGACTGCTTTACTGATCATTGATTTTATGTTGGTAGTCCTAAATATAAAGCTTTATTAAAAGTATCATATAAACTTAACATGATCCAAGAAAATGAGGCCAAGGTCAGATAAACCAAACTGGAAATACATGTACACCTTACAATCATTCCATACACAAAATATAGTTGACCTATTGCTTACAGTTTCTAAGAAACAAACTTAACCAGGAAAAGTTAAAATTGACCAATGAACCATGAAAATAAGGTCTAGGTCAGACGAACCATGCCAGACAGACATGTACACCTTACAATCAATATATGCATTAAATATAGTTGACCTATTGCTTATAGTATATAAGAAACAAACTTAACCATGCAAATTTAATATTGACCAATGAACCATGAAAATGATGATACCTGCCAGTCAGACATATACACCTTACAGTCATTCCATACACCAAATATAGTTGACCTATTGCTTACAGTTTAAGAAAAACAGACCAAAACACAAAAAATTAACACTGAGCAATGAACCGTGAAAATGAGGTCAAGGTCAAATAAAACCTGACAGACTGACATGAACATCGTAAACTATTTCCATACACCAAATATAGTTGACCTATTGCATATAGTTTAGGGAAAAAAATATCAAAACACAAAAACTTAACTTTAACCACTTAACCATGAAAATGAGGTCAAGGTCAAATGACACCTGCCAGTTGGACATGTACACCTTACAATAATTCCTTACACCAAATATAGTTGACCTATTGCTTATAGTTTAAGATAAAAGGACCAAAACACAAAATCTTTACATTGAGCAATGAACCGTGAAAATGAGGTCAAGGTCAAACAAAACTTGCCAGTCTGACATGTTCATCTTAAAATATTTCCATACACCATATATAGTTGACCTATTGCATATAGTATTAGAAGAAAAATATCAAAACACAAAAACTTAACTTTAATCACTAAACCATGAAAATGAGGTTAAGGTCAGATGACACCTGCCAGTTGGACATGTACACATGTACACATTACAATCATTACATACATCAAATATAGTTGACCTATTGCTTATAGTATCTGCTATATGGACTTGACCACGAAAACTTAACCTTGTTCACTGATCCATGAAATGAGGTCGAGGTCAAGTGAAAACTGTCTGACAGGCTTGAGGACCTTGCAAGCTACACACATACCAAATATAGTTATCCTATTACTCATAATAAGAGAGAAATTAAGAATACTAAAAATCTTAACTTTTTTCCAAGTAGTCACTGAATCATGAAAATGAGGTCAAGGACAATGGACATATGACAGACTGCAACTTCATAACATAAGGCATCTATATACAAAGTATGAAGGATCCAGGTCTTCTACCTTCTGAAATATTAAGATTTTAAGAAGTTTGTTAACGCCGCCACCGCCGCCGCCGGATCACTATCCCTATGTCCAGCTTTCTGCTCAACAAAAACCAATATGACTAAAAATGAAATAAAAAACACTTTACCATTTGAAACACCCATTTGGTTTGACTAGATTTGACTAATTCATCTGTTTAGAATATCTTGCTTAAATGCATTTGAAAAAATGCAATCAGACATTAAGAAAAGTTGACTGTATTCTTGTGTTTAATATTTAAAAAAAAACATAAACTTATTTCTAGTGGCGATTCAAATTTCGACCCACTTAACATATCCTTCCTTTTAGATTTAATGTTAATTTGTTTCATGACTCAATATTCCTGAAATATTTGCCACTGGACGTAAAACAGACACCAATCAATCAATCAATCCCTAGCAGTAATGTTTGATGCTATATTTACGATCTTCAAATATATTTAATTCTGTAACCATTTACATATTTTTAGCAACTAATTATCAAGATTCTTGGTATAATATTCTATCACACAAAGTTGTGAATTTTTTGCAAGAAAAACAAGATGATTACCTTGAGTTACAACCATGGGTTGTCTTTCTAGGATCTGTATTAACTTCTCTATATGCCCATGTCCATATGCCTCCACCGGATAGGCAGGCTCATTATGTTTAGGAATATCTAAACCTAAATACAGAATAAAACATACGTGAATCATCTGATCTCTTTTAGAAACGAAAACAGGTTTATTATGTGGGTTACTTTTAAGTAGATAAATGAAAGATTGTTTGATAAATAAAGTAGTTTGACTTGAACATTATGATATATTTGCATGATTTTATACCATATTTCGTGAGTTCTATCTTGATAGCACACGACCTGTACATATCTTACGTCCGACTAGAAAAAAATTGAAAATAAAAAAGACAACATATTAAAAACATCAAGTATGTAAAATCAAATAAATGTGGATATTTTCCCGTTTAAAAAAATTAAATACTATGAAAAAATCTAACCTTTATCTTCAATTTCCCGAGGTACTCTAAGCACACCAAAACATTTGAGGATACCAAATATTAACAGGGAAAACAATGCTGACCAGCCTATAATAGCAGCTAATCCAACAAACTGCCATCCAAGTTTCTGTAAAATATAATAAATATTCTTTTTTTTACCAGAATATATGATAGTTAAGACGATAATAAAAATAAAAGAAAAGTAAAGATACAAAGTAACTTAAATATTCAATGTTTAACATCCATGCATATATATACATGCCGTGTTTATTGTTCATTGTTTGAAAATATAAAATTTTATGGTACAAGTTTTAAATACAGGAAGAATAAGAGAGGCTCGTTTTGTACCTTATAGCGAGTACAGTCAACTTTTGCATTGACTTTTAATGATCTATAGTTATTCTAATTCCCAATCGTGATTTTAAATGCGACATAGCCCCGAGTTTTCTGTGTTGTGTTTTTTTGGGACTTTTTTCTTTTCGTCGTTTTTAGTTTTGGCTATGACAAATCTTCGTCGTCGTTTTTCGTTTTGGCTATGACAAATCTTCGTCGTCGTTTTTCGATTTGGCTATGATAAATCTTCGTCGTCGTTTTTGGATTTGACTATGATAAATCTTCGTCGTCGTTTTTCGTTTTGGCTTTGACAAATCTTCGTCGTTGTTTTTCGTTTTGGCTATGATAAATCTTCGTCGTCGTTTTTCGTTTTGGCTATGATAAATCTTCGTCGTCGTTTTTGGATTTGACTATGATAAAATCTTCGTCGTCGTTTTTCGTTTTGGCTATGACAAATCTTCGTCGTTGTTTTTCGTTTTGGGACATGATAAATCTTCGTCGTCGTTTTTCGTTTTTGCTATGATAAATCTTCGTCGTCGTTTTTGGATTTGACTATGATAAATCTTCGTCGTCGTTTTTCGTTTTGGCTATGACAAATCTTCGTCGTTGTTTTTCGTTTTGGCTATGATAAATCTTCGTCGTCGTTTTTCGTTTTGGCTATGAAAAATCTTCGTCGTCGTTTTTCGTTTTGGCTATGAAAAATCTTCGTCGTCGTTTTTCGTTTTGGCTATGATAAATCTTCGTCGTCGTTTTTCGTTTTGGCTATGAAAAATCTTCGTCGTCGTTTTTCGTTTTGGCTATGATAAAGCTTCGACTTATGTTTTTTTTTTATTGCCCCCTTAGTATCTTCTCTCTCCTGTCAAAGACATTGGCATTGCTTAAACGCGGACTGCAAAGAGGACCCCTAGATTAACTCTGAAGTTAACAGTAATTAAATATAATCGTTCACACAAAATAGAAGCAGGGTACCGGGCGACGATCTCTGTTCATAATACAAATAAAGCAAAAGTTTATTTATATACTTGTTAGCTGTCCGCTTGCAGGAAAAAATAAGGATGAACAAATTTGAAGCAATAACAAATGATAAGTATCTTTGCTTACCAGACCAGACTTTTTGTCCCAGTTAAACAGTATACCATCATCTTTATCTAGGAAAGCAATCAGGATAACGCCGGTTATACCTCCTCCAAAATGTACTGACAAAACATGAAGCTCAGTTTAAGTCAATCAATTACACAAAAAACTTTGTTCTGAAAATGGTCCAATTATTCATTGTATAAAACGTACTCTTATATTTTTTTTTGCCATGTAGTACAATTGGGCATTATAGTTTAAACAATTAGCATAAATAGAAAAATAAGAATATGCGACATGATTCCCAGTGAGACAAATCTCCACCAGAAACCAAATGACTTAGAAGTTAACAACTATAGGTCAACGTACAGTCTTCAACAATGAGTAAAACCCATACCGCTTAGTAAGCTATAAAAGGCCCCGAAATGACAAATGTAAAACACTTCAAACGAGAAAAGTAACTAAGTTTGTTTTCGCAAGATTAAAACCTAAATAATTCCGAGGAAGGTTGTGACCTTATAAAAAATATTTATCCCTGCAATGTTTATAAACGTTGCTCAAAGAAATATTTTAATCCTAAACACTTGTGCAGCCTTGAAAAGAAAGATTTGTTTTATATCTTATATGCATGTCGCTACATTAGTCCAAACATGGAAGTATTATATTTTACTTCCATGGTCCAAACAACTATCTAGTAAAATATTTAAAAATCACAACTGCTTAAACGGTTACTTTTTACATTCGAAGAAAAGGATGCACTAGACAAAATATGATAGTGAAGACTTCGGAAAATCTCTCTCCTACCTGCAACGGCGTCTAAAGGATCGTCGATGTTAAGTTTTTTCATTACTGTGGACCACAATGTATAAGATATAGCTGCAAACAAGCCTAGTACAGCAGCACTCCAAGGATGCATCTGGTTACATCCAGCACAGGCAGCAACCTGAGAAGAAAAAGAACAATATTATTATGCAGATTTTACTAGATATTGTCATAAACTATATGAATTACAAACTAAATTTCGTCCCACAAATGGACCAATTTAGAAATTCAATTTTCGTCCTAGTGTATAATGTTTCTCAGTCTGTGTCCTCGTAAATGACGTCTGGGCCAACAGTGTCGTAAAAATTATTTCTAGATCAACCAGTTTAGTCATAATAACTTTTGGATCAAACAATATCGTCAAAACCAAAAGGTTCCAATAGTGCAGCAACACTTAGAGCTGGGGTCCATTGCATTCGTGTTAGTTGTGAATCAATTTCTGAGGATAATTGCATAATTTATTGCTGAGAAAGTATGAAAATATTACCATTCCCGTTAAAGCTCCGTTGATGGTGACAAGTAAACTCCACGTATTTCCAAATATATGTAACCTGTTTATGATGAGTGAACCGAAGGCAGCAAAGGAGGCAGATATTATTGTATTGACAACAGAAACAGCTACTGCAGCGCCATCTCCCTCAGAACTAATTGTGAGCTGTGATCCTCCATTGAAAGCCAAGAATCCAAAGAATAGAATAAAACCTCCAAGAGCAGCAATCTACAAATTAAATAAAGAAATTGTTAAAACTTATACATTTTATTGTATACTGTATACATGAAAAAGTCAATTTAACAACAAGTGCAATGTGTCAAGTTTTGTATCTCTGTTTTTTTCTCTCCTTTAAACAGCACTATGTAAATTGTAATGGTATCCAGGCATATTTTTTAAAGGTGTTAAAAGAAATTGAAATAACCTTAATGTTTAGGTTTTTTGACAGCTTGATATCAGAGATATTAATAAAAAGGACTTTTTTTTTAAACAGTTGATAATTTGTATAAAGAGGTTGATGACATACAGGCACGGAATGTCCTCGCAGAGTTCCAACAACATTAGAACCTTTCTGGAATCTACCAATTCTTGGTCCTAAAAGTGCAGCTCCTATAAAAGCACAAACGCCACCCAGAACGTGAACAACACCACTGCCTGCAAAATCCTGAATAAAGATAATACAAGATTAGCACATCATTTACACGGCTACCTTTTGTATACGAGTTTAAAAGATACTCTTTGGTCGGGTTGTTGTCTTTTTGACACATTCCCCATTTCCATTTTCAATTTTATTTTACAAGTAAAGACAATTTTTACTGAAAGGTAATAATTTGTTTAAACTGAACAAAGTAATTAACCGAAGCAATATTACGACGTTTCAGAATCTAATTGCATTCTGGGTAATATTTTCAAAAGTGACCAAAAACGGTTGTGATTAACTAAATTACTCAGTCCTTTAGATTCTGAAACGGCGAATCGTCACAATCCTTCGTCAGACGTTTTAAAGGGTCATCATGGTGGTTATCTGGAAATTAAATACAATGTAAATGCAATGTATTGTCTTGGTATTCATTCAATAATAAAAAAAAAATGTCAAAAAATTAAGACTTTAGTCTAATTTTAAAAAATGTAACTGAAACACACCATTTAGACCCAAGTTACAATCAAATGTGGGTTCTATATACTAGAAGTCTTAAGAGTTATTCTCACCCGAGCACAGGTGGCATATGCTTTTAAAAATGTAAGAAGTTATCATGGCAAATCTTAAGAATGCCGAATGAACGATCCAGGTGGAATTTTGGAAGATCATTCACAACGTTGTGTAGCATATTTTCCAAAAAGAAGTGATTTGATTTTTTTAAATACCTGGTAAGCAATTTGACCAATGTCTCCACCATAGTTGTGTCCATCTACCAACCATCCACTTCCCCAGGCCCAATGTGTTACAACAGGGTAAATGAATCCTAAAAATGCATTATCAAAATATTAAAAGGTTTTTAAAAGTAATATGAAATTCCTTAAGCAACAGCAAAGATTATTTTTGTATTTGATACAAATTATTAGCAATGATTACATTAAATATAGCAAAAGTATCGTTTAATATCCGTTTGACTGTTATGAAACATGCAAAGAAGTTGTCGATATCACTTATATATCATGGTTTTTGCAATATCATTAATACCAATGCAGTTTGTATTTTGACAATCTTGGATGAAATTCAAAATTCTACAATTGTTTTGATCAGACACATATAACATATAAAACCCATATAACATGTCTCTGGTTTGATTGCAATGTGACCAAAAATAACGAAATATACGAAATTAAAGTTGCGGACACTTTTTTTTATATAGATACAACGAACGTACTTGTATTTATAACATTATGACAAATTACCAGTGATAACGAAACTGTAGGCAAAATAAGCTATAAATTCGCATCTTTCCGCTACAGCCCCTGAGACGATGGTAGCCGCCGTTGCAGCGAAAGTGTACTGAAAGAAGAAGCTCGCATACTGGTCCATTGCCATATCATATGAAGCAAAATATGTGGCGCCAATAAATTTCTGTGCTTTCCCACCATCGCCATAGGCAAATGCATAGCCAAATATCCAGTAAGCAATACCAGCAACAACTGAAATAGTAAATACTCAAAATACTAGAAATACATACTAAAAACATGGTAAACATTTGAAAAGAGGCCAAAACACCTTTTAAAATGTATATGTGTAAAGGGGTGTTTTTTGTCTATGTTTCCGAAGTAAAAAATTGAACAAGCAAAGTAAAATATATTGTGTAAAACATTCAGATATGAAACCTTTATTCATATTTATAATACTATATTTTTTTTTCTCCATGGAAATGAGATGTGCCAATCTTAATACAACTGCATACCAAATACAATGGAAAAAACCCTTGCGGTTCCCTATAAACTGACTTAATCTCAAACAAATAAATTGTTGACGCCACCGCCGTTTGAAACAGCACGCATGTTTCGCTTTTTCGACCTCGTCAAAACGAGACAAAAAAAAAACAAAACACAACATTGAGAAAAAAAAATCATGCACCAAACTATTCATAACTAGTAATATTCTAAATGAATATATATACCATTCCTAAGAACAAGCTATTAAAAAGATTCTATAAGATTGTTTTATAAAACACACGGAATATTTACAGTACGCTGTATTTACAGTGGTCTGTTTAGTTATGCCATATTTTGCTATAGATAGAGTTCAGTAACTCTGTAAAAATCTACTTTTGAAATACTTATTTTATTACTTCTGGAAGTTATTAGGAAGATCTATCAGCTGGAAATTAATATGACGGAATCGATTTAATTATCCTTTGAAAGAGAAACATTGATACTAACATCCGGATCATTTTAATCTCCGTGCACCTACGGATTTTGTCATTTGTGTCATTGAACGGTAATGATGTTTCTTTAAGTTTATTGTTTTGGGGGTAAAACCAAATTATGTTTATGAAAATTACATAATCATTGTAGACCTAGTGGTCATTGTGATGACGAATATTTATAAACCCAAAAATAGTGTAAAGTCCACTTACAAGAGTCCATCACATTCTTAATAAGAATGTTTGTGACATTTTTACTCCGTACTGCTCCAGCCTCTAGGAATGCAAATCCACATTGCATAACTGAAAAAAGATGAATATAAAAGTAACTTTAAAGGAAAAGTAATAACTCCTTCGGAAATTTCATTAACTGATATAATTTTTTCGAAAGTTTTACCCGCTGAACTGTAACTACTTTCGACTAACACGTGTTTAATACATGGGTTCATTTTGCTTAATAAAATATTGAATATGAATTATACGTGAATTTATTTAGATATATGTAAAGGAAAAATAAGAATGTTAAGAGAGTTTATTTGTAGGGTTTATTTTCACACAAAACGGGCTTGAATGGTACATCCAAAACTTTGTGTAATGAGAGTACCGTTCAATTTAGTACAAGTTCACGGTTGGAAATGTTTGTAACAGTTTTTCGTGATATGTATAGGCCTGTACCATCAACAAAAAAACTAAATTTTGGTGATGTCAAATATGATAGAATTTTACCTTTATACTTTGACCTTTTATTTGAGTGTAATTGCAAGTTTACATGCTGAATTAAATGCATTTATTCATCTTTTTTTTAATGGAGGTGAATAGATTCACATCGATTTTCATGTTACATGATCGATCGATCAAGTATCACTTATTATCAGGGACTTGAGGTGTTTAAAATATTACTGATTAGTAACGTTAAACTTTTATATTAATACATTATCCTCAACATTCATTTTTGAGATAATACATGAATATTATTTTCATCAAAAGATATTGTTAGTATTCGTCCGTATTCTAAAATCATTCAATGCCTAAATTATTTAAGTATTGAAATCCAGTTTTAAGAATTTGTTTTTATATCATGAATGAAAGTACCATTGTTGGTATTCGAACATCTAGATAAAACTACGGAGACAGCTATGCTCTATAAGGTGTCAGACCACCAATTACTCCCTCCAATTTAGAACTATGTAAAAGTAGGCCTACTCGGACAACAAATAGTGCATTTGATGTCATTGTTTACTTAAACTAACCAACAAATTTGCAGAAATGAAACTTTTGGTGAAAGAGAAATATATTAAGACCATTTTGAGCTAAAATTTACTTGTCTATGAGTTTGCATTAAACATTGAGGATTAATGCGCTCCATAGTATACTAATTTAAGATTTCCAGAAAACCAGGGGTTATTTTTAGTGGTACCTCAGTTCGGGAGGTCTCTTCTTTCTTATAAGATTTTAAAGGTATGTTGAAAATTGGCATGTAGAAAGGTGATACCTTTACGATTCAGGATATACCTGGTTTCTATGAAGTTAAACTTAAGGTAAAATATTTAGAAAGCTGTGAAAATTGCAAAATTTGGTTGAACAGATAGGGATTTTAAATTGGTGGTTTGACACCTATAATGATCAGTGTACACGATTAAAGTATCTATTTATAAGCGTACATGTATGATAAACGCAACACACATCATACATATTATATCATTTTATTCAAGAAAAAATGTTTGATAACTATGAAAAATAATCTTTAAGTAGATGCATAGAACAGCAAAAAAAAATGCTCCTTTCGTTAACTGATTTTTGTAAGGATTTGTTTCTAAAATAACCCGTACTAGTTTCCTGTGCATAGAATATCTATTTATGATATACATGTAGCCGATGGTTTCAGGATACCGATTCATTTCTCATTGAGGTGCAATTTTGCGCTAAATTCTTTCAAAATTATGTTTAAGATTACTCACGGAAAACTTAATGTAGAGGCTCATTGGATGAGATAGGACCAATTTCCTCTGTATTAGTTTTACACGGAGTCAAAATAAATAAAATGTCAAACCTACATTTTCTAACAATTTTAACATATTACCATAAAACCAAAATCGATTGGACTCAACAAGTTACAAGTTGCAATACATGATTTACCTATAAACAGCAATTTGGTTTTAGATTCAATGAGAATGTACCACTACTGCATTTTAGGGATAAATATTAAACTTTTGACAAATTCTGACACATTTGCGGTTTTCTGCAACCTTCAGGCATTTATACCTTTGGTCCGAGCATCTGTTTTAGAATTAGCCATATTATTGTAAGAACCTATAATTACACTTACGGAGCTTTGATACTGTGAATTTAAGTAAAGATTTAAAGATTTTTTTTTGCCGCTATTGTGAAATAGATTCCGGGGGAAATTGGCCCTACCCTTTGATTTCAAAGTCAAATCTAACTTTTATATACACATGTACGTGTTGGAATAGGAATCGGAAGACATATATTCGCGGTAGGGCGTCTGTTTTTGACAATTTGTCAGACTGCGAACGTTGATTTGAATTCCTTATCCGGCGTTCAGACAGTTCCTTGCACTTTTCTCTTTCAGTTGTCCCATTCAGTGTCAACTGTTAAATATGTTATCGTCCTAAATTGTATGCAAATATTTGATACTGGACATAAAACAACTGCAAGTGATTTCTCACAGTCAACAGGGAGATTGAGTTCTGTACTATTTATCTAACAGCCATCATATCTTTGGGGTCATCCGAAGTAGTAGTACGTCAGTGCTTTGATTATATGTACAGACAGTAAAGGTCATGAAGCACGTTGACTTTATTTTGATAGTATGTAAGGCAGATTCCGGATCTATTTAAGAACTAATAAAATACATGTTACAGTATCCTTCCGGGCTTTAGGTAGTTAGTTGCGGAATAAATTAGATAATGCCATTTTTTGTTTTGTTTAATCGTCGTCATCTGTGGTTTAATTAAAACAAACTTGCATGGTTTGCTTAATGTTTTTCATAGCTTGGGAAAATAGTTCAAACAAATAATATCGAGACTGATCAAGCAAAACATTAAGTTTAAGGTCTGGATCGTTAGCGAAGATCATTAAAGACAATCGCATCTGCTTCAAAAATGCTTAAATCATGAAATAACTCATTTTAAGAATAGTTAGGGATAATTTACCTTTTATTTGTTTCACTCACAAATTTATATAAAAAGTACAGAAATTTGAATATAAAAGTCTGAAAAATATACTTCAAAGATTTTTTTCAACAAATTGAATATATCCCCAAAAAAATTAAATGCTATAGTTGAAAAGATATTACAAATTTTGCATGTTTTTTTTTTTTTTTTTAATACAATTTGCATTGAAAGACCTATTCATAACCTTGTATCTGTATACCTCTTTTAATGAATGTGAACATGCACGAACGTATGGTAATAATTGAGATACATGTATGTAAAGTGGGTGTGTTCTACTTAAAAATGGGAAGTTGACATTTGGAAAGCTGAAATCATCACGTTTGATGCAAAATTCTAAATACGCATATAATTTTTATTGCTTAAACACATGCATGGTCTAATGCACCCAAACTTGTCCATAGTTTAAGGATAGACGACAAATTTCTGGGGCGTTTTTTCTTTCCAGGAATCTGTAAATTCATATCTGAACTAAAATGGCTTTCCCTTGAATTTTTATGAACTCTTATGGAGGGTTATTAAATATCAATAAAATTGAGAATGGAAATGGGGCTGAATGTGTCAAAGAGACAACAACCAACCAAGGAGCAAAATAGGCGAAGGCCACCAATGGGTCTTCAACACAGCGAGAAAATCCCGCACCCGGAGGTGGGCTTCAGCTGGCCCCTAAACAAAAATGTGTAGTTTGGTGGTCTTATCATGGGATCTATAAGTTGTGCATGTCAACCAATTTGTTTCATTTTAAACTATTTCTAGTATAAATCTTGTCGTTATTTTGATAAGCATTAACTAACATATCTCTAATTGTTACTTTGCTTCATTATTAGGTCAAAAATAAGTTTGAAGACTGATTGTTTTTGTTCAGTTCTTAATCATACTTGTATCGGAACAAGAAGCAAACAAATTTAATCGTCAAGTTTAAATAGTTATAAATTAAGATAACACTTTTAAATTCCGTGCGTTCGAAGCGCTTTTCTGGATTAACCTTCATCAGGAACACTTAAACTTAACCATTTGAAAGTCAGGGATGTATAAAACGTAGACACGTTAGGGGCTATCTGACCTAAAGGGACCTCATAAGAATATTCAAATTCACCTAAGTTCAAAATAATCTTTTTAAATCAACGAGGAATTGGAAAAAAAATGAACCATACATTTTCTTGTTCCCTCTGTTCAGTAGAATTGAATGCTATATAGGATGGTCTCATTAGTTGGAAAATGTTCAAGTATCCTGAAAAAAGTGGAGATCCCTTCCCCTAAACAATGTAAATATAGTGTATTTGTTATACCTCGTGTTAGCGAGATAAATAATATGAAGGGTGAGTCCCCAGGGATAATTCCTGAACCTTCCATTTTAAGAACTGTCGAAAGAAGAGATACCTAACCCGAAACTTATTTTTTTAGCAGTGTCGGCTACGAAGAGGGTTTATTTACATGCGTTTGGGAGACATAGACTTCATAATAGTTTGATTAAAATCATAACTTGATATCTAATGTTTCACTTCTACGTGTACGTGTAAATCTGACATTAACTTAACCAAAAATATCCGCAAAAATATGAGCTCCGTCGGATAGAAATCGACCTTATGCAAATGAATATCAATACCTCGCTTAACCTATGTCAGGCTGAAAATCTCAACGGACAGTCTGTAACTGTTTGAAAATTGAGTTGTTATAAGAACCCTACAAAACAGACCAAAATTCATCTTTTATTTCGTATTTGAATGTTCCAAAATCAATCAAAGTCTTATACATTTACATGTATACGTGCACTTGCATGAGGTCGATTTCTATCCGAAGCAGCTCATATACTATTTCAACCATCAAAAGAAAGCAGATATTTCATGATCTTTGATAAGGTTTAAAAGCCTTAAGTTTAGCATTTAAAAAAAATGTTGATGACTTTTTGATGAGCAGGTGGAAAAATGTTGCTACTTGAAAGAAACTATTATATATCAATACAATAACATGCTAATTGAACGTAAAGCAAAGAACAATCTATCAATATATCTAACTCTACGTCTGAAGTATAATGCTCAGTTCTTCCACGCTAATTTGATTTTTACATCGCGATGACCGTGAGGGCATTCCGATGTATTGCTATCGCCTA